ATTAATGACCAGAAACTGCCGTCCCCATTTCCCTTAATGCCCGCTAGTGTGAATAAATGTGGGCTTGTCTGATTTTTATGGGTTATAACTTATAATTTGAAAGCTCAGTTCAGACTACCATCTATTATACCATCAATACTATCTATTCCCCGCGACTTTGTCCGAAATTTATTTTTTATTTTTTAATAGAATAAGGGTGGCAAACGAGCACATAGTCCACCTGATGGTAAGTGGTTGCTGTGACCCATAGACATCTACATTTATCCTCAATAAAGAATCAAAATGCAGATACGTCGTCACCCGTGAGGACTAAGATGGAATGCCTCTTTTCCAGTAAAATGGTTGCTATTTTACGCTGGTATTCTGTGAGAGCGTGGTTCTTCCCCGAGGTCGAGCCGACCCATTCGTGCTACAAACATAATATAACTGCAGCGTGGCTCTACCACGTAGAAGTTAACCATAAATCTAGTTATGTTATTGCACAGACGTAAAAACTTCCTTTTATAGGTCTATGAGTAATGGGTAATGGGCCATTTATATTTATGGTTTTGTAGCGTCCGTATCCCCTGTTCAAATAACTTGTTTGCATTTTATAACTTAAAGACTTAAAATTTCATGTTAAATACATGACATTTTATGTAAACAAGTTATGAAATGCTTTCTTTATAGATGCAATTAAGTGATGATTAGAATGGAATACATTTGCAAATTAAAATATTTAATGTGTAGATGCGTCAGAAATCTCTGTACTCGAATAAAGGTCGCTGCATACAGGAGGGATTCAGCACGTGCACAGGACGGAAACGGAACGTCGTTGTATCTCCACACGAACGGGATTTTAATGTATACGCAATGTGACAGTGACATACGTGGTAGAGCCATGATGCAGCTATATAAGTATTATAGTTATAGCACGAATGGCTCCACCGGGGAAGGACCATGCTCTCACAGAATACCAGCGTCAAATAGCAGCTTAATGTTGCTGTGTTTCGTATGGTAAGTGTAGAGAACCGGGACCATTTTTACTGGAAAAGAGGCATTCAATCTTAGTCCTCACGGCTGACAACGCATCTACATTTTAATTCGCAAACGAAGATAGATATAGATGTCTATAGGCACACTTACCATCGGGTGGACTGTGTGCTCGTTTATCACTCTTATTCTATTTAAAAAAAAAGGTTGCTGCGTATAGGACGGGTTCGGCACGTGCACGGGACGGAAACGGAACGTCGTTGTATCTTCACACACACGCATACGCAACGTGACTCGAAACTAACGTGCTAGTGTTGTGAAAGGGTGGATTTTTCGTTTGAAGAGTTGGCGGAGCGACTGGTGCATTCGCAACGGAACCACGGGGCGGGACGTGGCGCGCACGAGCCGAGACGGGGTAAACATCGTCGCCGATGATATTTTTCTCGTACCGTTCATGCCACGTCCCCGAAAATGCATACGTTACGGACGCACGAACGGGAGCGTCCGTAACGTATGCATTTTCACATACATTTTCTATGGAACGATATTTCCAAAATTTGACACCCGCTCCGTCCGGAATAAAACACGTTACGTATGCAGCGGCCTTAAATCGAGTTCATTAACACGTTTTTATTAACTACTCTTTTGTCTGTACGTGTCGAATTTAGTAATTGATTTAAACTAACCTCCCGGTATGCTTGAAATTTTGAACATATAGCTCAGAGTCGGATGACAGACTGACAGACAGACAGAAAAATGGCATGCAAATAACCCCCTCGGCTTGATATACGGCAGTTATTTCTATACTCCGGCTCGTGGCGCAGTGGCTTATCAATGAGTTGTTGCGCTGGGGGCCGCGGGTACGAATCCCGCAGAGAATAAGTATTTGTATGGCCTATAAATAATTGTTCCGGGTCTGGATGTTTGTAAACTGCCTCCACTATAGAGGAGAAAATCCTAGTGTGGTGGTAACGTTTCTTAAAAAAAAAAATTGCAGACATACACTTCAATGTTATTTATGTATAGAGGTATAGATATTACATAAAGGAACATATAATAAAGTTAAACATTACATGCACTTCTACTCACCGATAAAACATAATTATGTCTACATGGTCCCATTTATCGAGTAGCTAGTCTGCAATAGAATCGGTCAAGTGGCTTCCACTGACCTGTTTCCTTCAAGTAGGTTTACGTCTTGAACAGAAAAAGAACTAATGATAACACATTGTACATGTATTTATTTGTTATGACTTTTTTTTAATTATTTATTACCCACTGGTAATTTTTTTTATAGAATGAGGGTGACAAACGAGCATACAGTCCATCTGATGGTAAGTGGATGCTGTGGCCCATCGACATCTTCATTTATTCTCGATTGAAAATCAAAATACAGTTGCGTTTAGTAAGAGTTAGTGTGCTACTAAAGAGTACATGATTGCTAATAACCCCGGGGAATGTGGTGATCGCTACCATGCTACTTCTAAATATTTTCATAACAAGTGTATAAATATTATATTGTAAGTTATACTTAACAAAAAGTCCCGCTGCGTTTCTTGCCGGTTCTTCCCCGGACAGAAGGTTTTTCCCGAACCAGTGGTACAAGTAAAAAAATGATTTTCAATAGGTATCATACCGGGCTTAGACTCTCGCCTCGCGCCTCGCCGCGTACCTCACCTCGCATCTCAAGTGTTGTTGCAAGGTAACGAGTGCCTGTTTACACTCTCGCGATGCGGTCAGTTTGCGTTGAGCCAGCAACGATGGGAGACGTCGAAATAATAGCGGCATCAACTTTTGCCGTATTTATCGATGCTTAACCATTTTAAAAGGAAATAAAAAAAAACCTCGTTGAAGAAGAATTATGGTGGATGATATCTATTCATCGAAACGGAACCTTTTGAGTTTCATAATATTATATAAATTGCTAGTACCTATTGTGCAAGATTAAATAATATAATTTTGTTAAAATTATAATTTTAAAACAAAAGCAATTCGAATATTATTATGGAAGGGCGCCGTAAAACAACTGAAACGAGAGCGCGATTGTAAACACTACGCTCGCGTCCCTCGCGAGGCCTTTTGCCTCGTGCTTAAAAAACCGCTCCCGACGCGAGCGCCGCGAGTGGCGAGGCGAGCTGCGAGGCGAGCCACGAGCTAGCGTTTACATTTACGCCTCGTGGCTCGCCTCGCGACTCGCTTCGCCGCTCGCGCGAGAGTGTAAACGGGCTATTACATGTAATCAATATAAAATTAAAAAAAAAAACGTGTGTGTTTACTTATGTACGCACGTAAGAAGTTATACTTCTTTAGCGTAACAAAACATAGTATAGATTCATATATATTTTATAATTACTTTGACTATAGTTATCAGTTCTCATGAAAATTTGACAACTGACAGACTATCAACTGAAGTTGTAGCTTTTACGTTTCGATGTGCGCGCACATTGTAACAACTTCATGGTGTCGTTTTTAGGTGTCGGTGTGCGCGAATAGTAAAAAATTTAATCACTCTCATCATTTTTCTCAAACGCGCCAAAAGAAACTTCAATTATTCTATTCTATTATTAATAATATACTGTTACGAGCTTGGGGTTCGAGACAATTAAAAACTGCCGATTGAATTACCAAATTTGACACTTTAATTACGGATACTAATTACACCTTAAAACACACTAATAATAAAACACAATAATTCTACTGATCACTTAAGTTCGCAGTTGTTTCGCTTCGCTTCATCTCCATATGCGTGCCTTGTATGAAGGTGTACTTTCTATCTAATAGCTCTTGGCGCTGGCCGCCACGCCGCCCGCCCCGCCCGCACCCCCGCCGCTCCCCACGCCGCTGCCCACGCCGCTGCCCACGCCGCCGCCCGCCGCGTTGCCGTTGCTCGAAGGTGCATCATCCTGGCGTCGTTCGGAGGGTGGCGTGAGATGGTGTCGAGGAGGTCGATGCTCCTTATCCTTTTGCGGCCCGTGTGTGGCGTGCGTGGCATGTGGTCCGTGTGTCACGTGCGTCGCGTGAGTGGCGTGGGGCGCGTGTGTCGAGTGCGGAAAGCTCGGCGACTTGCCGGCGCCAGGGGACGACCCACCCCCGTTACCAGGAGTCGGTTTCACCAGTTTTCCGCTCTGCAAATTTTTTCGCTTGTTCGGTATTACATATTTCCCAGCACCATTGCCATCTCCAGGCCTCACCACAGCTGCAAATCGCTCCTCTTCTGACACCAATTGTTACGAGCTTGGGGTTCGAGACAATTAAAAACTGCCGATTGAATTACCAAAGTTGACACTTTAATTACACAACACTAATTCCAATCTAAAATCACACTAATAATAAAACACGGTTCGCCTTTATTTCACTTTGAAGTATTCTCTTGTATCGCCAATTCAATACTGCCTAGCTTAACGTCGATCTCACAACAATTCTTCCTCATAAAGTCTAGGCCCAGGATGCAGTCGTCCATTATATCAGCCACGATGACATTATGCAGGTAGATCATGTAGCCTAATCATCAAGGGCGAGGTCAACGGAATGCCGTGTAAACTGACCATACACACTGGAGCCTCTCGCACGGTTGTCAGTTCCCAACTTATAAGTCGGTTCCTTGGGGACTCCGCATACAACCGTGAACGCATTAATTTGGTGACAGCCACCGGTCAACGCATACCCGTCCGTGGAGAGAAGGAGATGGAGTTGAAGCTAGGCAACATGATCTACCTGCATAATGTCATCGTGGCTGATATAATGGACGACTGCATCCTGGGCCTAGACTTTATGAGGAAGAATTGTTGTGAGATCGACGTTAAGCTAGGCAGTATTGAATTGGCGATACAAGAGAATACTTCAAAGCGAAATAAAGGCGAACCGTGTTTTATTATTAGTGTGATTTTAGATTGGAATTAGTGTTGTGTAATTAAAGTGTCAACTTTGGTAATTCAATCGGCAGTTTTTAATTGTCTCGAGCCCCAAGTGCGTAACAATACAATAAGAAAATAATATATTGTAACTAATTTCAACATATTTTCCTCCAGATTATCAGAACTTGAAAGCGACGTCGACAATGAAGTCGATATTGACGGCATACAAGGTGGAAAGATGATAGACGAATGGGTGATTAACCCTGACGATGAACGATCGGATGGAGATTACGTGAAGTATCTCAATGACTTAAAGGTTAATAAGAATGGAGAGGAAATGAGTGACGTCATCATCGAGACATTCTCATATCTACCTAACAAAAGACTGGAGAAAATAGAAGAAATCTTACCGGAAGATTTCGAGGAAGAAGATGAGAGTCAGATAAGGGTTAGACGCCAAGTGAATGAGACCGCAGAAGAAGTAAAAAATTCCACTGATTCACTTATCGGTCTGGATGCAAAACCTGTTACCGTTTCCAATGTTACATTGAAGGTGCTAGGTTTGAGAGTGGAGGAATCGCAGAAGGAACCGAAAATCGTTGACGAGGTGATACCGAGCGTGCTCCGGGACACAACGTTCACTCTCAGGTTGTTCGGGGAGGGCTTCACTGAGCACACTGAGATAGCGTTTACGCATGTTCCCGAGGATTACGGCACTCTGTGTCACTTCCTATTGCCAGGGGAGTACAAGGTATGTGTGTTGTTTTTGACGTGAATACGTCTTTAAAGGAGATGTTTCAGAAATGTATGGAGCTTGGGCTAGCACTATGTACACTATATGTAAATATCGCTGTATAATATAGTAACCGTTTTTTATTGTTAGTTTTCTTTAATTTCACTTCGTTTCAATGTACATTCAAATTAACTTAGTCAAGGAGAGCAACACAACATTAAATTAAACATGGTGGATCACACAGACAAAACCATAGACTTAGTATAGAAAACACGAAAAATGTCATTTTGACATTAACATTTGATTCTTGATTGACGTGTATTGTAATATCAACAATAAAAAAACAACACGAATTTCGAAAATCTTGGATACGATAAACTTAGACTACAGGATATTCAACTCAATTGCGGCAGCACATCTTATATCACCTATTAGGCCCGCCATATACATACGGAATTCCGTTTCGAGATTCCGTTTCGGAATTCCGAACGGTCGGCCACACACAAACGGAATCCCGTTTTGCCCGCAAAATATCGAACGGAAAACTACCGTACGTGTGTGGCGGGTCATAGATTTTATATGGACTTGCTGCGTTCGGGATTCCGAATCGGAATATCGAAACGGAATCTCGAAACGGAATTCCGTATGTATGTGGCCGGCCTTAGATTAGTTAGAGATTGGTTATATCGAAATGAAACGAAGGCTTGAAAGTTATTTTGTTTATTAACACTTTCCTGCTGCTTCATTCCTTAGTGCCTATCAATATATTCTGGACTTCGATAATTCATAGGCGAGCAGTGAGCTGTGCAGTATCTGACAACTACAAGTTATTGTTAAAGTAGTTAACTATTCCTATTATACAGTAACAGCTGAGAAGATACCAACTATTTTATTCAATTAGGCAGGAGCAGCATAATCAGCCTATAATGTTCCCACTGCTGGGACATATACTTCCTTTCTGTGAGGGATTGGACTGTGTAATCCACCACGCCAGCCCACTGTCCCAACTTAACACTATCAATTTTTCAAACAAGTTATGTTATATAATTCCTAGTATTAGTGACATCAAAAAGATGAGAAATCAGTCATGAGAGGTATATAAATAAAACAAATTGTTGTAACTTATGATTTTATTCGTTTTCCACATCATCCCTTATTAATATTCCATCCAGGAATGACACCGGTGCTTCTATGCTCTCTTGGTACTGAGCCCAACCCAAATACCACACAGTGGTCATGACGTCAGCACAGCAACCCATTGTCCAATGTCTGGAGATACAATTACAATAATAGCTAATTATTTTATCATCCCCACTTGATCCTTCCCTTGCCAGCAATATGTAGGTATAATATGTTCGTCCTGAGCTATGTCGAGTTTTTAACAGGCTTTTATTAAAAAAGGATCAAGTTGGGATGGGGATGCTTCTGCTACTACTTCCAGTTGGTCCGATACTTCTACCTGAAATGATCCATGCTGCCTAATATGTTCCCCAAAATAGCTTCTAGCCTGTTTTATTTGATAGGTACCCAGCCCAAAAAGTATCAATTCAGACATAGTCATTTTAGGGAAAATACTTAACTCTGGAAGTTGACCATCAATTCTTGTGAATTGGGCTCTAAAGCGGTTGATCCGGCTAGCAATTATAAATTCTGCTAACCGGTTGGGCATATTTTCACTCTGTATTGCTCAAGTATAGCTACAGCATTTGGTCTATTTTCAATCACTGGATGGAAGGCATTAATTATAACATTGTCCATCAAATGGGTGGCAGTCAAATCAAAATATTCACGTCCCAGATGCTTAGTCTCTTTTAAATCGACCATTAACTACCTCTACCACCCATCTGCATAGTGTCACACACCTTGTCTTGTTCGTATTGATGGTCGATAACTGAGTCTCTCCTTGTTCTAAGGATTCATGTTTAAATACTTTGAAGCCCAACCCCTCTAGCATTGGAATGGAATCACGAAAGACTCGATACAAAATGAAAACATCATTGGGCTGAAAAAAAAGCCCTTAAGACCCTCATTTTCATTTTGGAACAAAGCTTTCATGATGTCATAATCTGATTTGGTTGTTGGATAGGGCCCCAAAATATCAATAATGTAAGTATCAGTGGCAACAATGTTATATATGTTATATAAAAATATTTGTGCAAGCTATAAGTTTATTTTTGAAACAAGTAGTTGGATGATGTTTGAAGATATATATAGGTACCATCACATATTATTATTGGTACTCTTGCCTCTCTGTTTCCAAACAAGCCCTCGGGTATTAATAAATTCCTATTAATTAAATCATTTATTGTGTGATTGATTATATATAATAATAATAATAATATATATATAATTTTTCTTAAGTATTCCGGCACTCTATTTCGTTCTACATTGTTACAAGCCGGCACAAAACAATGAGCACTTGTCTGTGTTGTATGTGTAAAACCATCAAGTGTTATTGATGCACTTGGTGGCTGCATATCAATTTGTTGCACAACTTCTTGCTCTATTCCTATATTTTCCTGTGCACGTGTCCAACAGTTGGAACAAATAAGCACATATTCTGGTAACTGAAACAATACAAGAAACAATTTATTAATAGGGGCAACAGATAAGGTTACTTATAGTTGAATGTACAGTAACATTACTTGTGTATGGTGGTTTGGTAAATTAAAATAATCTAACCTGATTTGGGTAAATTCTTGCTGCAAGTTTATCTCTTACAGGACCACGAGCCATGTGTGTTAGCCTTCGGTGTAGAGACATTCTACACCATGCATACATTAAGTCTTGGTGAAGGCTAGATGGGGTTGGAGTTTGCCGATTATCCTCAATCCTTATAGCATGCTCCACATTTTTAAATGTTGCTACCCAACAAGCATAGAAAACCAGTCCTCCTGGTGGAATCTGAATAAAAGAAAAGAATACAATATGTATTGGCTATTCACACCATTATTTAATTGCAACACTAGGTAATTAAGTAAGTTGTTAATGTTACCTCTCTTGGATATATTGTTACTATTATTATGGTCCGTTCAGGTCCTTCATGTATGGAGTGGCTGTGTGTCTGGGCAAGAGACCATCGGCACCATACACATACATTCATATTCATAACAACAGTAGAAGCTGCTATAATTCCTTGTTGTTGTATTGTACGCCAGGTATGTACCCAACAAGCAAAACATACGAGTATTAAAGCACCTTCAGGTATCTAAAACAAAAAATGTAAATAAAAAATGACTTTCAATAAGTATTATGTAATAAACAATATTGAATAAAAAATCATTCTATTATATTCTATGAAATTAAGATTTATTTATTTATATCACAATATTTCTAAATAATTTAAATTAATCAAGATTTAGTTATTTCAATATCACTTTTATAGACTCATCCGAGGTGATGTTATATATAAATCACATGTCTACACACATTTCCAAAAATTAAATTGTGACTGTTCTTTTTCTTCTTGAAACGATGTTGTCTTTGACTATAATTAAGAAACAAATACATTTGCATGCCTTTGTATGAATAAAAAAGAAAACAAAAGGGGTGCTTACCTCTCTTGGAGTAATTGTTTCAGCAATATATTGCCTTTCGGCCAATAACAGAACATATATTATAAGTTATAACCCTAAAGAATAAAGAAAGACTCAAAGACGTCTAATCACTTCTTAAAACTGTCAAAGTCGTCAAACGTCATATCTATTGCTAACACAACTGTCATGGCTGCCCTTAAAATAGGGTTATCATAACAAAAATATTTTTAAATGATCATTTTTGTACGGCTATACCCTTTTTCAAATTAATTTGTTAGTAGTTTTATGAAATTCCTCAAATTTTTATCCTATTTATCTATGTAGTGTACATAGTGGTAGCCCAAAATCGAACATCTCCTTTGCTTTCATATTGGGAGGCAATTCAGAAAACCGATGACAACAAAATCGGGGATACAGTTTGGTGTTGCAGCTATATATCTATTATCTACATCCAAAATTTAATTACACCACTCGATAGGATCGAAGAATTTGTTACGCTGAGTGAGATCTGTGACACGTAGAATAAGGGTGACAAACGAGCACCCAGTCCACCTGATGGTAAATGCATACTGTGGCTCATAGACATCAATCAATACGTGGTAGAGCCTTGCTGCTATATTAATAGTATAGATGTAGCACGAATGGGTCGGCTCGACCGGGGAAGGACCACGCTCTCACAGAATACCAGCGTAAAATAGCAGCTTAATGTTGCTGTGTTTCGTATGGTGAGTGTAGAGAACCAGAGACCCTTTTTACTGGAAAAGAGGCATTTCATCTTAGTCCTCACGGCTGACAACGCAACTGCATTTTAATTCGCAAACGAAGCTAGAAGCAACCACTTACCATGAGGTGGACTGTGTGCTCGTTTGTCACCCTTATTCTATAAAAAAATCTGTTGTCTGTAAAGTCGGTTTACTGACGATAGTTGAACGTGACAACGTCAGAAGAAAATGTTGCTATAAACAATTGACACCACATTCACTTTTCACTGCACTTCATAATTGACGAAAACGTGTAAATATATTATTGTATAGCAGCTGTCCATGCGGACGCATCGCTCACTCAAGTAGGAGAGAGACAGATGTCGAACGCTGCCGAACGCGGAGGCCGATTGTGCCTCTTTGTCGCTCGTTCCGCGCTCTCGCTTGCACTTCACGCCTCAGAGCGAGGTAACGCCGCATGAGTCATGTTTTTTCGTGGGTGCAGCCAGCTTCATCGAATTATAAGACGTTGTCACGTCAAAAAAAAAAAACATTTATCCTCAGTAAGAATCAAAATGCAGATGCGTTGTTACCACTGAGGACTGAGATGGAATGCCTCGTTTCCAGTAAAAAAGTGCCCCGGTTCTCTACACTCACCATACGAAACACAGCAGTATTATTTTACGCTGGTATTCTGTGTGAGCGTGGTGTTACCCGGTCGAGCCAACCGATTCGCGCTACAACCATAATATAGCTTCAGTGAAGCACCAGCCATATTTTAATCTTTCGCTGCAATTTCCAACCAGTAACAAGCAACGATTTTCACTTATACTGAAAGTTTTACCGTCCAAACTGGAATACTTACAGTTCTAAAGTACACTTTTGATAGTAAATGGTAACAGGTAAACCAACCCAGATAGGCTTCTAGGTAGAAAGGAAGTCCTTAAAGTTAAAAGTTAAAGTTACAGCCTATATATTATGTCCCACTGCTGGGCACAGGCCTCCTCTCATTTCTGTGAGGGTTTTAGGACAAGAAAATGTCCGCGGCGCTGCCCCCAAATGCGTGTTTGCGAACTTCACATGTCTTTGAAGTATTAGTTTTTTTTTGTTATTCCTCAGACATGCACATTTCCTCACAATGTTTTCCTTCACCGCTGAGCACGTGATAAATCAGCACTTAAAATAGCAATTAACAATTTCCTTGGTGCCGGCGGGGATCGAACCCGGGTTGCTCGCGTACTGTGAAATTTACAGTGAGCGCTTAGTCCTTGAGCAACCACGGCTCACGAAAAGGAAGTCCTATCATAGAATAAATAATAGTACGTCCTACTTTAACCTTAGCTTTACCAAGTATAAAATATTACAATATATTATGTAACTTCTTTAATAAAAAAAAATGGTAAACGCAAGGTATAAATTCAATGCTGCGGGCTGTTCGAAAGAGATAACGCGGCTTTAGTCAGTAAAAGTCTGACACTCCCTTCCGCTCCACTCAGAGCGAAAGGCGTCATTTGATGATAAGGTATAAATTCAATAAACTATTAAACAGGTCAAAGAAGTCAGCGGCGACGCAGCTCTATTTGAGCTTACAGCCCCGTTGCCTCTAGAAGACTACCGATTCTATATATGCGCGAGGAATTCCGCGAAGGATGAATTCATCCACCAGGGCCGCGAGAAGTGGAAGATCCTTGGCACCCATAACAAACTGTTACCACTGTGGGTCTCCTTAATACTCATTGTGGTCTTGCTGATGCTGGCTTCGCTGTTCTCCGGTCTGAACCTCGGTCTCATGGCTCTGGACAGGACGGAACTGAAGATCATCGTCAACACCGGCACCGAGAAGGAGAGGAGATACGCGCGGGCCATCATGCCGGTTCGGGCCCACGGCAACTATCTCCTGTGCACCATCCTGCTGAGTAACGTAGCCGTGAACAGCACTTTCACTGTCATCCTGGACGACCTGACGTCTGGACTGGTCGCCGTTATCGGTTCGACGCTGGCGATTGTGTTTATCGCCGAGATAACGCCGCAGGCGATATGCGCTCGACACGGTCTATTTATAGGTGCCAAGAGTATCTGGATTATGAAGGTGGGTTGGTTTTCTTATTCTGTTTTCTTCCGACTTCAAAAAAAAGACGGTTCGATTATATGTTTTTTTATGTGTGTTACCTCATAACTTTTTACTAGATGAACCGATTTCGATGATTCTTTTTTTTATTTGAAAGCTGGTGCTTCACATGTGGCCCCATATAAATTTGATCAAGGTTTGACCAATAGTTTTTCAGTTATTCTTAATAATTAATATTGAAGTCGGTTGTACAAAATTTTAAATTTTAAATTATTTTTTCAGTCTTAACGGAAAGAAACAAAGGTTTGCAATTCGAATGTTGAAATTTAAATTCGAAGACAAAAGGGGTGACATTTTTAATGTCATTATTTAAAACCTCATTGCCCATTTTTCCCACACTTATGGACCACCCTGAAATATAACCTATTTATGAAAAAAAAAGAATTCACAGGAAATCACAGTCGAATGGAGTACCTTTATCCTTTTAGGAGTCGGCTAAAACTAGCTCTTATTACAGAAAGTATTAGCATTAAGGAATGAGAAAATATTGAGATAAACTTGCGAAACCATCCACACCATCTGCATCATTGGCGTTCGACCACTGTACGATTTACTAGGAGTTTTCTTCCTCGCACCTACTGCTTTGTGAAATCGTCAACCACCGGATATTTTTCGAGACCGATACAGCCTAGGGACCTTCAAGAAACTAGCTGATTCCTTTTTGAAAGCCGGCAACGAACCTGCAATTCCCCTGGTGTTTCAGTTGTTCACGGTCGGCAATCGACACATCCTACTTAACGCTTTTTATAACCTTGATTTGGTTGAAACCTATCTTGTTAGCCTGGAGCAGAGTAGCGAGCCTATCCGTATTCTATAGGATGCATTTCGGAGAGTGTGTCGGCTGGTCTTCATTCCATTTGGTGTCTATATTCCACGGAATAGAACCAAACGATTTTTTTGTAGTATAAGTGTGACAAACGAGCACACAGTCCACCTGATGGTAAGTGGATGCTGTGGCTAATTGTATGATTTTTCATCAGATTGTGATGGGTATCTGTGCTCCGCTCGCTTGGCCCACTAGCAAACTCCTGGACTACTTCCTCGGCGAGGAGATTGGCACGCACTACAACAGGGAAAGGCTAAAGGAGCTTGTTAAGGTAATACTTTTTTTTAAATTACTGACTCGGCAGACGTTGTGTTGCCTTGACAGAAGTATTTTTCGAACCAATTGTAAATTCAACATAAAAATGACTCAATAAATATTATTTATAATCTATATAAAATTAAAAAAAATCTATTTGTGTTAAAACTCGACTTGTTGTTTTGTCTTTAGACACAAGTTTGTGTCTGAAGTCGGAATAAGTCTGTCAACACGTTGGACAAGTAAACAAAGGTAAGTGCGTGCATCTAAATAATATATAAGTAACAATTTTCGAGATTTCCGTAAAAGCATGATTGTAAATTAAACAAAAATTCCGTAACTAATACTTTAATTGTATTTCGTGCTTAATGTCGTACCTATTGAAGTAAAACATTACACCGCGCAACGATGCAATAGCTTGTAGCAATGCTGTATCGAAAATCAAAGATTTAATGAAGATTCATTTGCGTCAAATTGAAGAAATCGAGTCAGACTCTGATAAGTCTGATAAAAGTGAAGAGACATTTTCATTATGGAGTGATCATTACAAACTGGTACATCTCAATTGGAACGGTAATAAATCTGAAGATTTATCTAACTTTCAGTTTATCTGACAAGTCCTGTTGGAAGACTTAACGACAATCCTCTAGAAATTTGGAAAGATTACAAAATACAGTTTCCAATATTACATAAAATTGCCTTTAAATATCTAACAATGGTGGGCACATCAGTGCCATCAGCGAGACTGTTTTCGCAAGCGGCGCAGGTAATGACTCAACAAAGGAATAGATTAAAGGGTAGATTGGGTTAAATTTTGTTTTTACAAAGTATAGATAAAAATTATTGGGATATACATTAAAAATAAATGTAAAGGTAATAAAGTTATTTTAATAGATGCTTGCTTTTTATTTCTAAACCACATACATATTTAACTTATAGAAAAACAATCGATGTATAGAAAACATCGATGTATTTTTTGATACATCGATATTACATCGATGCAACAATCCGATGCATTCAATCGAAAAAAACATCGATGTTTCTTTTTAATGTCCATCACTACTGGCAAGCGCCGCGCGAATCGAAAATCGCCTGAAAAATCGATAATTTTTTTAATAGATGTAATGAAAAAAAAACGTTCGGGTGCCATCGGTTGCAAAATTAATTACCTATAAATTGATAATATTTATAGAAAAAAAAGAAGTATTAGTACTTGTTTAAAATGAAATTTGGCATGTAAACAAACTGCAAATCGAACGTAGTTCGGTATTTTTTTCTATCGAGAAAATTGTATTGTATCGTGTATTGACCGGGTACATCGTAAGGAGAAAAAATGTATCTAGAATATTATGTTTTTCAGATTCTTAATGTAATAATTTGCCTATCAAAACCAATTTTAAAACGGACAAAAACGGGAACACCCAGCCTTAATGCATTCTAACACAATATTACACATAAAGTTTATCTTTCTACACTCCTTTTTATAAACTTTAACTGTGCCAAATCTCACTCTCACTCCTACATGGGCGCAGTACGCTTAAAAAAAGGTAATACGTTTTCCCTTCACGTATTAACGTATAGATTATGACTGAATGGGAACAGGATGTGGGCAGTCGCCCAAATAATTTTTAGTCTCCAGTGGCTGGCTCCCTTTAAAAATATCTTCGGCTCGTTACGGAGAAACGTTTTTAATAATTTCATAGGAAGACCTTTACCGTTACAGCCTATTAAAGTCCTAGTAGGAAGCCTGGCAAGCGCTTGGCAAGCTGGTTGGCTAGCAAAGTTTTTTATTTTTTGTCGTTATTAGGAAGACGCTGCTGCACATCTCCTGATTTGTTTCCCTCTGTCGCCTCTTACGACACCCACAGGATGATATGGGGTAGTGGATATTCTTACACCGTCACTATACGGTTTTACGCTAGTGTCTCGCCTTACTTCGCCTGGTTTGGATCTATTAATGTGGTTATTTAGATTTATCACTGCTGGCATTGCTTTCTATCTGTTCGTCAAGTTTCGTTACAATCGGTTCAGCCATTCCAAAAATTAGTCCGGACAGGCTGACAGATATACAACATTTAAAAAAAAATGTTTTTCGTGTTTTAATGGTATGCAAAACCCCACAGCGCAATATAAGACAGTTATTTCGATATTACATACAGAAACTTTTTAGATGTATGGATAATATAGTGCTAGAGCGAATGTGCATCTTGTTCCCTTGGTTACGCAATTCATAATTAACAGTAATAAATAGCGTAACGCACTACACATTGAGCGTAGCACAACTGCAATTCGACAATACCGTAATATGTGCCGATCACAATCGCACATGTAGGGTAATATGCAATCCCAACATTGTGTAAGGGTGTTACCGATCGATCGATCGTCGATCGATGCCACTGATCGACGTTGATGGATGTCGATCGATTGGTCGATAAAACGTTTTTCAATCATCGATCGACAATAAATCGATGTGGTTGTGGGCTCATCATCAGTATCTTTCAAAATGTATTCAGAAGAAGTTAATAGTTCTCAAATATATTGAGACATGGTAGAGCCATGCTGCAGCTATATTAGTAGTATAGTCGTAGCACGAATGGGTCTGCTCAACCGGGGAAGGACCACACTCTCACAGAATACCAGCGTAAAATAGCAGCTTAACACTATTGTGTTTTGTATGGTGAGTGTAGAGAACCAGAGATCCTTTTTACTGGAGAAGAGTCATTCCATCTTAGTCCTCACGGGTGACAACGCTACTGCATTTTGATTCGCAAACGAGGATAGGTGTAGATGTCTATGGGCCACAGCAATCACTTACCATCAGGTGGACTGTGTGCTCGTTTGTCACCCTATCCTATAAAAAAAATCAACCAGCTGAATCGACGTCGACTAATCCATTCTACCATCTTTAAATTAGGTTAACATACGATTTTGTCTTTTCATGCAGATCCCGATGTGTTTCTCAATGAATATCCAAATCGAGTGTACTACAAGTTCCTTTATCCCTTTCAACTTTACATAAAAATATGTCAATTTATCTCCCATCTCTTTCCCCACCAGATTACGAACCATGTCAATGACTTGGACAAAGAGGAGGTGAACATCATCTCCGGGGCCCTAGACCTCCGCAAGAAGACGGTGAGGGATGTGATGACTAAGCTCAAGGACTGTTTTATGCTGCCCATCGACAGTGTGCTCGACTTCGAGACCATGTCCGAGATCGTCAAGTCTGGTGAGTTTTTGGATTACAACTTACGCTGGTTCGTTGCTTGAGTACTACACGGCACGCGAACATGCGTGCATACACGTACGCGCACGTACGTACTCGGTTAACTTACTACAGAGATATTGTGATATCTACATTAAAAATAAAGAAAATAACTTTCTTTTTAACCGGTTTAAAGTGTGAACTTTACATCCTAAACCGGTATCTGACTTAAATTACTTCTAGATTCTAGGGGAACAATAACTTCGTTCTTCTGTTTGGGTAGCCTATTGAATTTTGAACCTTTATTACCTAGTCATAAGGTGCTTGTTTCAGTGCAACTCAGCAGACGATATTTGACAAACCCTTAATCATCAAAAATTTGCCATGTATTAAAAACAATCGTAAGGATCTATTCTTTTATAGAATAAAATAAATTCCAACAAAATAACAGTCAATAAAGAAAGTCATTATCACTAAATGGGTGTTACATAACTTTTTATTAAAGAAACGTTGTCCCCACATTAACAAACGTTTTAGAAGACTTCAAATAATATTTTTCTTTCTCTTCTTCCACCACTATTAACGCTTAGATATTAAGCGGAATGTATACATATACGTTTCCGCCATTTGCCATTTTTATCCAATCGACTTAATTTGTATCACTGTAAGTCGAAACAACTTTAATACGCGTGAATTGTACTGTTTAGGAATAAAATTACAATAAAATACGAATTACGTAGCAGGCAGTTTAATCGCTCAAAGCAGACTGACAATTCTTTCCCTACCCGCTTATTTATTATATTATCACTTTTTAAATACATCACAACATGAAATAAATTTAGTTATTTTAAAATTACAGGGTAAATCTCACGTGAGGGGGAGGGGAGGTCCCAAAATCACATCAAGGGGGATAGAGTGCGGGGTCCAAACTAAAAAAAACACCTCACGACATTAAGCCCCCTTAGATCTTTTTCGCGTAATAACTTCATAAATACATTGTATATAAACAACATATATTATATTAACAGGCTAATTATAAAGTATTTATCAACATGACTTTAAGGCTTTGGCTGTATACAGTGAATATTTGTAGGTTACTCCCGCATCCCGGTGTACGAGGGCAGCCGCGGCAACATCGTGACGGTGCTCTTCATCAAGGACCTGGCCTTCGTGGACCCTGACGACAACACACCGCTGAAGACGCTCTGCCAGTACTACCAAAACCCGTGCAACTTCGTCTTCGAGGACGTCACGCTCGACGTCATGCTTAAGCAGTTTAAGGAAGGTAAGCTATGACTACAGCCGTCGACGTCTGGAAAATTTAGAAATTATCTAGAATAAAAAACTGCTTTGGCCGTGGTAGGAAACGGGGAGATCTCCCACTCGGGCAATGGTGTTCAAGCCCGGGGCGCGGCCAACGCTCCGTATGTACTTACACAGCTGTTCTATATATAGCACAGTACTTCGGAACTTTTGATAGCGTGATTTAGGTTTCGGTGTATTTTACACTGCCTAGGTTTGCTAACAAAATGTCCTACAGACCGAATTTCGGTCACGGCGGCCAGTCTCAACGAAGACTTGCCATCTGCGCAGGACAGGATTATAGTGCCCAAGTGTATGAGCAAGCACAGGTGCACTCTCTATTGCCTCACTCTCATAGTCCGGTGGGACGGTAAGGTAAGCCGACTTGACTTTTTAATATAGGACAGGGTGACAAACGAACACACAGTACACCTGATGGTAAGTGGTTGCTGTGGCCCATAGACATCTACGTTTATCCTCAATAAAGTACCAAAATGCAGATGCGTTGTCACCCGTGAGGACTAAGATGGAATGCCTCTTTTCCAGCGTCTCTGGTTTTTTACACTCACCATGCGAAACACAGCAGTCTCAAGCTGCCATTTTACGCTGGTATTCTGTGAGAGCGTGGTTCTTCCCCGGTCGATCCGACCCATATGTGCTACAACTATACTATACTAATATAGCTGCAGCATGGTTCTACCACGTATGACTGGAGAGATTTACGTGCTTTCCAAGGCACGGGGGTGAAACATCGCCAACTTCATGACTGCAGGTTGCTTCTGAGAACTATTTGACAGAAAAACGCAATAACTTAGCTAATCTGGGTTCCGAACCTGGTACCACAAGATAAGCAGTCGCATTTTCGACTATATTAGACCAGCGATGACAACAATCACAGATAATCGGTGTTTATGTACATACAAATTAATACATTTTTTGAAGTAAAAACTTCTTTAGAACCATTGTTTTTAAACTCGTTGAAACGAAAAAGTGATACTAAAAAGAGACAAACATATAGGATTAAGCCTGCGGGAAAATGAGATAGAATACAGTATACAGTGTTTCCTTTTATCTCGGTCTCCTTTTCTGTAGGTTTCATTTCTACCGCGTGTGAACTGCACATTTTATTTTGTTACTGTAAGTTCTAACGCATTCTAAGTATCTTTTGAAATTGACAATAAATTAATTTCTCTAACTAATTAGGTGGTTGGACTCAACCGTGTAGTGGCTGTGTAAGAATATCCACTACCCCATATCATCCCGTGGGTGTCGTAGGAGGCGACAAAGGAAAACTGAAACAGGAGATTGGCAGTAGCGTCTTTCTGATAACAACTAAAAACAATAAAAAAACTGCGGTTGGCCAACCCGCCTTCCAAGCGTAGCAACTATAGCAGAATCCCCCCTATGAGGCAATCTATGGTGGAGGAGGCCTATGTTCTCAGTAGTGGGGGCTTTAATAGACTGTAATGGATGTATGTATAGAAGATAATCTACCAGGAGCACATGACCCACTGAGAGGTGAAATTTACAAATCAACATTAACATTACAACTATGGCAAATAGGCAATCTACCATTTGTTTATATATTGCGAAACATGAATGAAAATACACAACACAACATATTAGATTACCCTTTTACTTTAGTTCATTGGAATGCCATCGGATGCCAAGCTGACGTCAAACGCTTCTTGCCAAATGGCCGGTGACGTCACAGGCTGTTACTTTCACTTTGTAACGGCTCTGTGGCGCAGTTGCTTAGCAATGAGTTTCTGCGCTAAGGGCCGCGGGTTCGAATCCCGCACGGAACAAGTATTTGTATGGCCTACAAATAATTGTTTGGGTCTGGATGTTTGTCCTTGTGAAATTTATATATGTAAACTGCCCCCACGATACAGGAGAAAATTCTAGAGTGGAGGTAACGTTTTTTTAAAACGAAAGAAAACCAAAATTATTTTTTCAATTAAAGGTCAAAGGTCAATCATATAAGTAAATTGTCACCACGATACAGGAGAAAATCTTGTGTTTAATACTGCTGTCTTGTATGGTGAGCGTAGAGTACCGGAGACCCATTGTACTGGAAACGAGGCATTCCATCTTAGTCCTCAGGGCTGACAAACGTGGACTGTGTACTCGTTTGTCGTCCTTATTCTATAAAAAAAATGATAATGTTGAAGTCAAACCCCCCTCCTCCCCTTCACTTTCAATTTAGCGAATTGATGTCACACCGCTATATGTAAACGTCGCGGTTACGTCGTCGAATTCAAAATGGACGTTTGACGTTTATTGGACATCGGTACGGATTTAATTTTGGACGATCGTAATATTGTCGTGTAGTGGCGTAAGTGCGCCCTCTAGTGAGTTACGTACGGAAGAATATGCAACAATGAGTAAAACTATTACTATTTTTGGAAAGCAGTTCCTTTATCGGACGGTACGAATTTGGCGGATGGTGGGCTAGGCGAGAAAAAGTGAAAGATTTTTCCGTCACGACCCCTTCTGACGTAGTGAAGACGGCCTTGGCGGCTATAAGGAAGCGAGATGGAATAACATCCATCTCCCTCGCACTTTTATTACTATTATTATTATTTTGCCATGAAGAAAAATTTTATTTTATTTTCAATGACGCTTCATTTTAATAGACGTTAGTAATTCATTTATTTGTATTTGTTAATCAATAATATAATACGTTTATCAATAATAATATACTACGAAAGGAACTTCGTCCCAACAGAGTGTTCCACGACAGTCACGAATGTTTTATTTTATTTGACTAGTTTTTTTTATTATAGTTTTTTAATATTGTATATACATATTAATAAATTAAGAAAACAAATTTGTTTTGAGCTGTTTTGTGTGTTTAGTAAATCCTTCACTATTCAATTGTGATATAGTAATAGTTACTATATCACAATTGAATAGTGAAGGATTTAATAACTTTTAAATTTACAATTTTCTTTCGTATGTGAATATTATATGTGATCACAAATAACGCCAGAAATACGTCGGGAAACTTTTGGCTGGCGATAGAGATCGCCGCGAAACGAAACACGACCGTCTGGAAACTTTGTTTATTTATAAATTATGAAAAATTTGGTTTTAGAAGTAATGCGAACGATTCACCAAATGCGAAGGAAACAGAAAAATTTTATTACCAGAAACTTAGTTACTCTATTTTTTTTTTTTTACCTAAATGTAACACCTTAAAGTAAAGGGTACATAGGACTTAATGTCATGTGGCTTTCTATGCCAGTCAACCCTGGATGTCAAAGATTTTTGTCAAGTACGAAACATAATACTTATATAAAGTGTACATATGTACATTAAGAATAGTTTGGAAAATCCAAAAGTGAACGCCTCATGAGCGTTTCATTTAATTTTGATGAAAAAAAATGTATTACTGACTTTTAAAATATTTACGTTTTAAATTTCTCTTTAAAGTGCTCTATTACTTTAACAGGTAATGTTACCTACAGGGGAAAAAATTAATAATGTTCACCAAAATATCGATTACACAAAGTATAAAATCGATATAGGCTAAAAAATATGAGTGCCTTTAAATTTTTAATAGCAATAAAACTTGAAAATCATTTTATTAACAAAGTATGCGTACTAGGCTATTGATATGAAATAGGGAACCACTTGATGTAATTCTGAAGCTAATAAGAAAACTTGGTCTCGATACGTCAATTTTTTCGGGAGTTATCGTGACCACATACAAAATCAACATCCGGACGTCCACGTAACATTTTTTTCAAACCGTTTTATTTTTCAAAGTAGCAATATAAATAATTTTTTAGAAAATATAAGATGAATTAATTAGTGTTTTCTTGATATACTCTTATTATCGTATAAGTACAATATGGTTATAATAGAGGCATTATGAACATAAAATTGCTTGACCTTTTCTACCGAATTCAAAAAGAAGGAGGTACTCAATTCGACTTTGTTTTTTTATGTGTGTTACCTCATACCTTTTTCTGGGTGAACCGATTTCGATGATTCTTTTTTTCATTGACATCTTGATGGACAAACAATTTTAAAAATTGTGCTTTTGTTATTATAATTACTTTTATATGTATTTAGTAAAAACAGACTTTGTTTTTGATCCCAGGTCACAAAGGTCATATGGCGTTCGTCCAGCGCATTGAAGAAGGCGACGGTGATCCAGTTTACGAGACTGTGGGTCTGGTCACCCTTGAGGATGTCATCGAGGAGATGATCCAAGCGGAGATCGTCGACGAGACAGACGTCATCAGTAAGTAACTGCAGGCTGTGAGATCATCTTAGTCCTCAGAGGTGACAAGGCATCTGTAGCCTTTTTAGTTTAATGGTGGCTGCAGGTGTCCGCCCACTAGTGGACTGCCGCAGGCTGATGATGATGATTATTCAGTCTTATAACCCTTGACAAAAAAAGTCGATAGTGATAATTAAACAGTATTGGACAAGTTAAAGCTCTGTGGCGGCGCTATCGTCGCGCCACAAGCGAAACACATCGAAGCCTAAATCGCGCTAACAAAGTTCCGAAGTTAAAGCAGTATATATAGAATAGCTCCGAACTACCACTCGGAGCGTTGGCCGCTCCTAAGGCAGCACATTCCACTGTAGCGGGTGGAAGGAAAAGGGGAGATCTCCCGCCGGGCAAGGTGTTCTGCCCGGGGAGTGGCCAATGCTTCGAGTTGTAGTTCGGAGCTATTCTATATATACTGCTTTAACTTCGGAACTTTGTTAGCGTGATTTAGGCTTCGATGTGTTTCGCTTGTGGCGCGACGACAGCGCCGCAACAGCTCTTATGCATTAAAATTAAAAAAAATTTGTAAAACATCTCCCTAGAACGGGTTCCTTGTATTGTCTTCTGACTTTTGATGCGCTGTACCTTTCGACGGAGAAGGGGGAGGAGTTGTTCTCTCCTGAATGAGGCTGCTTGGGTGGTGCTATAAGTGTTACCATGGGCCTGCCAATATGAAGGTGAACCACCATAGTGTATTAATCGGTATGACTGAGTATGACTTAAACCGTCCCCTTATAAACAATGGTGTCCATGGGCCACAGTAGTCACCATCACGTGGACTCCGAGCAGCCCTCTGGCATGAGTATTTTTTATTGTATTACTGTCAAATTATTTTGTATGAAAAAAAAACATAGTTCCAAATACGTCCACCAGGAGCGCTGTTAATAATTCCATACAATTTTGGTGATAACGCTGCAAAATTATTAGTGTCTCAATTTTGTGCTATATGCACTGCACTGGTTCAGACTGGTGGCCCCATAACGATTTCAAATAAAACTATATTTACGGATTTTATCGCGTTTAATTTTAACTTTTTTTAATTCTCGACGTTTCGGACAATTTCAGTACCTGTGGTCAGGGGGGGGGGGGGGTGAGGTGTTTGAAGACCCGATGTCATAGTTTTACGAAGGCTACCTTCAACTTTTGATTTTTAATCTTTGGTCTGATCTACGTAGAACAAGCTTACTACAGTATCTTGAAGTCTTACAGTATGCTTGGACACAACCTAAGAAGAACATAGACTCAGTCATCGCGTTTAATGTTTTCAGAAAAGCCCACTTAAACAATAAATTGCTAGGGTTGTCAGAACGGGAGTAATAAAAAAAAACTGACTTAGTATATACCTACATTACAAATTTCATCACATTATTAATTTCTTTCCCTATTTTTTACCCTTAGTTTTATAATATTCATATAAAATAGTGAAATGAAATAAAGTCAGTTTTTTTTTTAAGTTTTTTATTAGTTCTCGTTATGACAACCCTAGCAATTTTCATTCTGTAGTTGTTTCAAAGAATGTGTGGTATGATTTAATCCATTAAAAAGGGTCTATAATACTAACTAGAAATGGTCGTTCTATGATAGGTTAATAATAAACCTACCAAAAAAAACCAACTTAAAAAAAATTTAAAATAATAAAATAATTAGCATTTATGGCAGACTTTTCTGAAAATTAATTTAATTTTTTTTAAAGATAATAATAAAATTTAATAAATATTTTCAAAGATTATGTGTTGTCGTAAGAGGCGATAAACCAGGAGATCAGAAGCCCTTCACAAGTCCACTGCTGAACATAGGCCTCCCCATAGATTGCTTCATAGGGGGATATCTGCCAAAGTTGTAATGTTACTGTTGATTTGTAAATTTCACCTCTCAGTGGGTCATGTGCTCCTGGTAGATTATCTTCTATACATCCATCCATTACAGCCTATTAAAGTCCACTGCTGAACATAGACCTCCCCCAAGGAATGCCACAAAACACAGTCCCGAGCCACCTGCATCCATTGACTTCCTGCATGTCTTACCAGGTCGTCACCTCATCTAGTGAGGGGTCGCCCTACACTTCGCCTACCGGTACAAAGCCGCCACACGAGAACATTTTTCCCACATCGGTTGTCGGTTCTTCGAGCTGTGTGGCTGGCCCATGGTCACTTCACCTTACTAAACCAGGAGATGGGCAGAAGCACGCCTGATAAGCGTGACCACAGTGCCAAGGTTCAGATGTGAACTTTTGTAAGGTTGTAACGGTTGGAAAGGTGATGAAAGTATTGAAATTTATAGCTATAGTAATTGATCATTATTATCTCCTGTTAACCGTGTAGTGGCGGTGTAAGAATATCGACTACCCCATATCCCGTGAGTGCTGTAAGAGGCGACAGAGGGAAACAAATCAGGAGATAGGCTGCAGCGACTTCCTAATAACGATTAAATTAAATAAACTACGGTTGCTAACCCGTTTGCCAAGCGTGGCTACTATGGCAAATACTCCTCTGAGGCAAAATTGGGGGAGACGTATTTTCATCAGTAGACTTTATAATAGGCTGTAACGGTATTTTTACATTAGATTTATATTACAGGTGACAACCGAACGAAGAAGCGTTTGACGCGTCCGCTGAACAAGTTCCAGGACCTGGCGGCGTTCGCCGGTCACCAGGCCCACCGCGTCCACGTCTCTCCGCAGCTGGTGCTCGCCGCGTTCCAGTTCCTCAACACTAGTAAGTAGTGTTGCCCAAATGCAAGAACAAGACGAGACTTATCCAGTCTTGGTCTTGGTCTTGCGCCAATACACCTGGTCTTGTTCTTGGTCTTGCAGCAAGAGTCTCTCAAGTCTCGCAAGCCTATTGCTATTTATTAAACGTTACTTTAGATCTTAGAACAACTTAACACAGTAGGCACATTTTGAGCTTGAATTAACATATCCATAGAAAGACCAACCAAATTAATAAATGTGTAAACATTTAATGAGAAATTCGAAAAATCAACTAATACCGGGTGGGGTTTGAACCCACGACCTAAGCGATCCGTGCCGATGCTCTAACCAACTGAGCTGTCTACCATGTCTCACGGCCCCGGGAGTTAGTCTGTTTGTTAATAAACGTTTACATTTAATAAGCTTACATGTGCTAAAACTTAGTCAAAACATATAAAAAACAAATTAATGACATTAACTTGACTGTATTATAAAGAACATTATCTGTCTAGAAAGAGATTGATAGACCCTTATATGAAATGGAATAAAAGAGTTATACAATTTACCATTTATTTAAATAAAAAAATAAAATACAATACAAATTAAATTACATAACAGTACACAACAGCTTTGACATTACCGTTACTTTATATTAATTCTTTTGACCAAGAATTAATACAAAGTAACCATCTGGCTGACTCATCACTTAACCTATTTATATATTTTCTAATTACTAATGATGCTTTGGAAAATAATCTCTCAGCAGGTACTGAAGTTGCAGGCATTGAAAGAAAATCACGGGCCATCTTCGATAAAGTCGGATATTCTGTCTCATGCGTCCTCCACCACTGTAAAATGTCTTCCGAACTGGCGGCTCTGGGTTTACTTAGGTACTCCTCTAACTCGTCTATAACTAAGCCTTGATGAAAAGATCCAGATCCAGATGACGTCGAGGGACATGCATACAGTTTCTCAAAGTCTATTACGTCTTCATCTTCATCATATTCACATACTTTCTTTTCATTTCTTGGTGATTCTAGAGATGTATTCACTGAGTGTAGACTTTTATATTCTTTATAAAGTTCATTAAATTTGCGCAGGCTTTCTGTTTTAATTTGCTTCCCCCATAATGTCATGTCAAAAGTCTGAGTTTTATGCCTTGGGTCTAAAATTAAATAGGTACAATAAATCCAGTTGCTCTTTTTATAATGTTTAAGCATTTTGTCTCGAGCTGCTTGAAAACCCAGAATGAGCCTTTCATCCACTTCAGATCAATTAGGTTTCTCATCTAATTGTTTTACCATGGATTCAATTTTATCGAGCAAGAGATTGAATGATACAATGACTAGCGGTAATGTAACATATTTTTCTCCACCAAGTTTCGTTGATAGAAGTTTAAAGTTTATTAGAAACTTATGTATTTTTTCGAGTATTTGCCATTCACTATCTGTGATTTGAAAATCATTCAATTCGGTGACAGAAGTGCACAATATGTTAATGCCAGTTCTCACTTTTAAACCAAATCCAATCATATCATATGTGGAATTCCATCTTGTTGGACAGTCGAGTATGGGGTTCAGATTTGATGGCACGCCAGCTGCTTCACAAGCAGACTGAAACTTCCTCTTCAATATCTCACTTCTTTTTATTTTACTGGAAATACTGCGTAATTTTGTTATAGCTGTACGTGAGTCAGCAATATTTGGCGCATATGCTTCATCTTCCTCAGTTTCGTCTTCATTGTCTTCATACTGCTGTTCTTGTCCCTTATTGTCAGTTTCACTGTGTAATGCTAAGGTCTTTAATAAATCTTGTACACCAAGGTTCAAAATGTGAGCAAAGCACCTGTGAACAAAGCAATGTGAGGAAATCTTGATTGTCTGAATCAAAGTGTGGCAGCTGTTTGTCCAATTCATGTATAAATTTGGTATTTGCAGTTGCGTTGTCGACCGTGATACCCTGTATTTTATCAATTATGTCATATTCCAATAAACATTCGTGGAAAATCGTTGCAATATCTTCCCCAGTATGTCGACCGCGTGATGGTATAAAATCAAGGACTACAGATCGATACTTCCATTCGTTGTCTATATAATGAATAGTGACCCCGTAGTAACTCCTACCAGCAATTGACGTCCGTCCATCAATGGTAAATGACATTTTAGATGAAAATTGTTGTAGTAGTTTCTTAAGATTCAATTGAAGCTCTTCAAACCGTTCTTTGACCTTCCTTCTAAGTGTGGACCTTTTAGGAAACACCATATTTGGGCAAATTGATCGAAAATATACTTGTGTAGCTTCGTCATCGAAAAATGAGAAGGGAAGATATTTTTTAACCATCCAATCAACTGTAGCTGTCGTGATGTTGTCACTGCTATTTTCAGACTGAAAGAAAACAGTAAATCATATGTCTCGCCGATTATAAAAACAAATGAAAATATGAGTGAATTATAAATACATATTTAACACTATAATCATAACTAACTAACTATAATAAATATATATATATATATATATATATATATATATATATATATATACAATATGTAACGTAATAAACGCACACCCTCAGACACCCCAATAAGTATATTATGTTATAGTCATTATACATACACTGACTTTTTAATTAAACATGTTTATGCATTGATTATTTATTAAATTAGTTATACTAATTCCGGAACAATTTTGTGGTCACAATATAAATCCACGAACGCACGCAGTCGCTCACGTAGGTATAGGTTTTGAGGGTCTTTCTATCACAGTAGGTACCTATTCGCTCGCGTTCGAGACGAGTTAACGCCGCCGCCGCTTGACACAACTGTAGGTAGGTATAAGTGCCGAAAAAAGCTGACAATACACAATTGTTTATGTTAAAAAAATACCTACCTATGATCACTAACTGATGTTCGTACTCCGACCATCGAGTTGTTTATTTAAGTCTAGTAAACATTTGATCGCATCTTTCAATCACACTTCAACTATTGGACTTTCAACTCTGAATAATTTTGTTTATTGATTATGATACAATGTCAATAGGCAATATTCGTTACAAAATGTTATGAATTTGCATAACATTTGAATTGTAATTGTAAATAATAATAAACTGCTAAAACTAAGAGGCAATACGAAAACATAATTCAAAGACGGCGTGTTTAAAAGATGTGAATCAAGATTACAATAATTTTAAGAATCAAATATTTAACTTACTGATAGCCTAAACTCCCATGCAACGTTGTATTTTAATACATTTTCAAAATGTCCACCATGGCTACGTGGCGCAGTGGCTTAGCAATTGAGTTGCAGCGCTAAGGACCGCGGGTTCGAATCCAGCACGGAACAATATTTGTATGGCCTACAAATAATTGTTCCGGGTCTGGATGTTTGTCCTTGTGAAATTTATGTATGTACACTGCCCTCACAATACAAGAGAAAATCCTACTGTGGAGGTTACGTTTTAAAAAAGGAAAAGAAATAAAATAATTTAGAAAGCAATTCAGTGTCATTTTTCACTATTCTAAAATCGTTCACTCATAGAATTAATTAAGTATAAAGAGGCTATATAGGTAAAGCTTAACATAGTTAAGCTTTACCTATATAGCCTCTTTATACTTAGGTAAGACTTGCAGCGGGAAAATTTCAAAATCTCATAGGAAATCAGATATTGTACGCGGACGAAGTCGCGGGCGGCCGCTAGTTACATAATATATGTGCTATGTAATTGTGTGATAAGTATATTTTTTCTTACCCGTTCACTTTTTCCGGTGGTTATTAAAAAGCTTGTGATATCTCCACTTACTTTTGGTTTTTCAGGAAGAAATATTTGTGATTCCTTTTTGTGGAAAGATATTAGATGCTTCCTTAAGCCTGAAGTGTTTCTGTTTTTCATTTTTATTTCAATCTTTTTATGTTGGCATAATTTACACAAAGCAATTTGGGATGCATGAATTATGTCGATAAACTCATCAAATTTGCTTTTAGGTCTTTTAGATCTATAACTCCAACTCCAACTCTCACTACTCTGACTAGAACTATTCGACTCTTCGTCACTCATGTCAAATTGTAAACTTATCACTCCGAGAACAACAAGGATTAGAGTAAAAACAATTAATACATTAGACTCGAAGCAAAGCTCAATTGGGAATGACTGGAATTAAAATAAATACTACTATTTGTAAGTACACGCCGAAAGACCGACAAAGGAAAGTTCGGCATTCTTTGATAAAAATAACGATTCTTCAGAAGATTAATAAAGTAGATGCGTTGCCAGATAGGTATAGTTTGCCTACGTAAAAATGAAATGTACCTAGTCAGGTCATAAATTCTGTCACATATTTAATATAAAATAATTGAAACAAGTTTATTAATTATGTAACCATTTATATACCAAAATGAACTTAACAAAACATAGATTCTTATGACACTAAAGTTTATTCAAAATGACCTCCGTGATTTTGAATACAGGCCTTCAATCTGCGCGGCCAGTCGTCTATCGCAGCACGAACGAGGTCCATGTCAATATCGGCGGCTGCCTTAATCAAGGATGTCTTGAGTGACTCCAAATTGGGATGAGGCTTTGAGCACGCCTTTTCCTCCAAGTGTTGCCATATCTTATAATTTAACGGATTCAAATCTGGACTAGAGGAGGGCCAGTCTTCGTGCCGAATGAAGTCGATTTCACGCGCCGCCAGCCAGTCTTGTGTGCTCTTCGCTCTATGAGCTGGCGCCGAATCTTGTTGGAATACGCAGTGCCTGTTATTGAACATGGTATGAGAAACAGGTTCCACAAGGTTCGTCAGGACTGTATTTTGATACACAACTGCATTCGTTTTTACACCTTTCTCACAAAAATGTACCTCTGTTAAGCCCCAATAAGAAACTCCCAACCATACCATGACCGAGGATGGAAAATGACCTCGTTGGACACGCGGAATACGGTTGCTCGCTTCTTCGCTACTGTGTGCGTACACCTTATCATTTTGTTTGTTGTAGCTCTCTTCTACGGTAAAAATTTTTTCATCCGAAAAAAGAATATCCCGATATTTTTTTCCCGCGTACCGCTTCAACAAAGCGCGGCATCTGTTCAGTCTCAGGTCCATTAGATGACCATTCAAACGATGTCCTGTTTTTCTTCGATATGCTCGAAGCCCTAAGTCTTCATTTAACACCATTTTTACCGTGGTTCTGCTCAACCCCATCTGAAGGGCCAACAGTTTCTGCTTACGTTTGGGATTTCTTTGAATTCGCGCCTTCACAGCTTTTATCACTGCTGGAGTCCTAACAGACCGAGGGCGACCACTTCTTGACCTGTCATTTACACTAGAGTCTTCATTGTATCGTTTGATGGTACGATAAACGAATCTTTTGGTTATATTCAAATTTTTCAGTATGTCAAAAATTTGAATTGGCGCGTAACCGCAACGATGCAACGCAACAACTGCAACACGGTCTTCGTTAAGCGTCCACTCCATATTTAAAAATGAGTAAAATTCTAAAAAGTATACAGTTTTATTTTCATGAACAATTCGAAATTCGAATTCAATAAACTTTTTTGTGGCCAGCATTCTAAAAGAAAAGTTTTTACTGTGTGACAATACTTATGACCTTACTAGGTAAATATGTAAATAAAATTGTGTATATTATGTTCTTCTTGTGATTGAATTAATCTACGTTAATTACATTAAATTTGCCTTCACTCGTTTGAAATTCAAAATTGAAATATGTTTTATTCAAGTAGGCATTAAAAATACACTTTTGAATAGTCATATAATCACTGTTTTCCCCAATTTTTTCTTTTCCATGTCCAGGGGTTCTGATTCTACTGAGAAGAATCATGGAAGAAAGTAAGAAACTCAGTAGTTGCTCTTTTCAAAATATTTTTACAATAGTACTATAATTATGTAAAGCGATAAGTCAAACATAAAATGTCGAATGTATATGTAGGTACCAAATCGGTATAGAAATTTCTAGTTAGTCCTGTGTAGTACGAGAGGTCAGTTCCAAGCATTTTTGTCTGACTTAAATTGAAAAGGTGAAAGATCTAACATTTCTTTTGGAATCTTAATATAAAAGCGTATATCGCTACCTAAGAACGCATTATATACTTTGTGTAACCGGAAAGCAGGTATTGTGATTTTATTTTTATTTCTGCAATTAAAATTGTGCAAATCACTATTATTTACATCAATTCGATGCAATCAATTTCTTTAAACGGTTCTCTAAGAGATACGCGGGCTCCTAAAAAGTACATAGATCTTATTTTACGCTTTTTATTTAATATGCACACTTTTTATATTATTCGATCAGCATTGTACAAAATGTTTACACGTTTCAAGTGTGTTAAAAGTGTCTACAATATTTATCAAATGGGTGACGACATATTCGAACACTTTGTGTTCAAAAACACACACTTCCAAAAATCGAGATTTGCAGTGAACTTATTGAACATGTTTATCTATTAGGTAATAATAATAATAGTAAGTAATTATTATAAACCCATATAGTTAATATTATAATAATTACTTACTAGAATAAATTATTATGGTATCTACCTATCCTTACCATTATCTAATTACAATATTCCTTGCGAGATCAGCATAATGTATTCGTGTCCATTCTGAGCACCCGGAAACTTATTTTATTCCTTTATTCTTTGGAACATGTACTCTGTGGCGGCATTCAAACAGTGTCAAATGTAGTGCGTGCGGCGCGGCGGCGACGATTGAATGCGATATCAATAGAAGCCGCCGGCGCGTGTATCTTGACTTCCGAATAGCTGCAAAATTTCTTTGACAGGTCAGTATTCGACCTTTGATGATGCCGACAACAAGACGCCGCGCACTATCAAAGTGCCGATGGTCAAAACTAGGGATGCACTGTTTTTTCTTTTAATGGATATTTTCATCCGTTATGTATGTTTATGGTATTGTTCGTAATGCGCATAAGTTCAATTTTCCAAATTTTTTTTATATATTTTTTGCGTCTCATAGACTCCCTAAGCGAACCCGAACTCCTATACTCCCTGAAACGACACTCATTCCTAACTGCAAGACGCAAGAGTCTCGCAGGCTTAGTCTTGTTCTTGCTCAAATCTTGCACGGTCAGTCTTGGTCTTGGTCTTGCTAAAATTAGGCGGTCTTGTTCTTGGTCTTGGTCTTGCAAAAATGCAAGAACAAGACCAAGACTGCAAGACCAAGACCGATTTTGGGCAACACTACTAGTAAGTTCATTTTGACTTGAATATCACACCATATTTACGTGGAAAAGTCATGCTGTAGCTATATCATGGTTGTAGCACGAATGGGTCAACTCGACCGAGGAAGGACCGTGCTCTCACAGAATACCAGCTTAAAATAGCAGCTTAACACTGCTGTGTTTCGTATGGTGAGTGTAGAGAACCGGAGAAGCTTTTTACTGGAAACGAGACATTCCATCTTAGTCTTTAGGGATGACAACGCATCTGCATCATTGTCATCATTCTTAGTTACAGATAAATGCAGATATCAATGGGCCACAGCATCTACTTACCATCAGGTGGACCGTGTGCTTTTTTAATTTCATAGAAATTTACTGAACCAAGTTTTCCTTGATACATTTCTGAAGTCCTACCCTCAATTAGTTCTAGACATCAATAACATTTTGTAGAAGTCAGAATATTCACTACCCCATGTCGTCCCGAAAATGTCGTAGGACGAGACAGAAGGAAACTGAAACAGGAAATGTGCAGCACCGCCTTCCTGATAACAACTTAAAATTATAATTAAAAACTGTGGTTGCCAACCCGCTTGCCAAGCGTGGCAACTATGGCAAAATCAACCTTATGAGGCAATCCACGGGGAGGCCTATGTACAGCGGACTTTAACAGGCTGGATGTATGTATAGATGATAATCTACCAGGAGCACATGACCCACTGAGAGGTGAAATTTTCAAATCAACAGTAACATTACGACTATGGCAAATATTCCCCTATGACGCAATCTATGGGGGAGGCCTATGTTCAGCAGTGAACTTTAATATGCTGTAATGGATGTATGTATAGAAGATAATCTACCAGGAGCACATGACCCACTGAGAGGTGAAATTTTCAAATCAACAGTAACATTACGACTATGGCAAATATTCCCCTATGACGCAATCTATGGGGGAGGCCTATGTTCAGCAGTGAACTTTAATATGCTGTAATGGATGTATGTATAGAAGATAATCTACCAGGAGCACATGACCCACTGAGAGGTGAAATTTTCAAATCAACAGTAACATTACGACTATGGCAAATATTCCCCTATGACGCAATCTATGGGGGAGGCCTATGTTCAGCAGTGAACTTTAATATGCTGTAATGGATGTATGTATAGAAGATAATCTACCAGGAGCACATGACCCACTGAGAGGTGAAATTTTCAAATCAACAGTAACATTACGACTATGGCAAATATTCCCCTATGAGGCAATCTATGGGGGAGGCCTATGTTCAGCAGTGAACTTTAATATGCTGTAATGGATGTATGTATAGAAGATAATCTACCAGGAGCACATGACCCACTGAGAGGTGAAATTTACAAATCAACAGTAACATTATAACTATGGCAAATATCCCCCTGTGAGGCAATCTAAATTGAAGGCCTATGTTCATCAGTGGACTTTAATAGGTTGAACGGTATCGGTAACTTTCCTTGATACTTTTCTGAAGTCCTACCCTCAATTCGCGTACACAGTCACAGATAAGCGTTCCCTAAAATTATTAAATTTCAGGCGTGGACCCATTCCGTCCGGAGATGATCTCGGAGACCGTGCTCCGCAGACTCCTCAAGCAAGATGTCATCCAGCACATCAAGCTGCGAGGCGACGAAGAGAAGAACGACCCGAAGAGATACGTCTTCCAAGAGGGCAAGCCGGTAAGTCATGTTATTTATAACATTTATGCCCAAATACTCAAATGCTACTAATTTTAAACCGCTGTTAAGGCTCGTGCTGTCTCTGTCACTTAGTCAATGTGACTGTGACATTACGAGACTTAACAACATCTGAAAATTGAATAGGCGTTTTAGTATTTGGCCATTAATAAACAAACAAGATTTAAGAGAATCATCCAATTGTTTCCAAACCCATTGGTTTTGTGAAGATTAAGGCAAACAGACAAAATTAGTGAATTTTTATCCTGGAAGTAGATGGGTGCAGGTGTCTCAGGACCGTGCTTTCATTTTTTCCTTGGGGGAGGCCTATGTTCAGCAGTGGTTGTGAAGGGCTGTAATGACGTTGATGATGATGTGCATTTGATAATCTATAACAATTAAATTGTATATGTTATGAAGGTATATATTTAATTTTTGTCTCAAGTAATTTCTATGTAGTACTTTCTAGTACTTCGAGGGAGATCTATTTCAGTGAAAAAGAGACATCTCATGTTGGTCCTCAGGGGTGACAACGCATCTGCATTTTGATTTTCGATCGAAGACTGAGGTAGCTGTCAATGGATTACAGCATTCATTTACCATCAGGTGGACTGTGTGCTTGTTTGTCATCCATATTCTAAAACAAAATTGAAACTCAGAACGCGTAAAGCGCATTACGGTATATATATTAATTTCTATTTACTCTTAAATTAATCTCAATAATTTTTCGTTTTCCAGGTGGACTACTTCGTGCTGATCCTCGAAGGTCGCGTGGAGGTGACGGTGGGCCGCGAGAACCTCGTCTTCGAAGCTGGACCCTTCACGTACTTCGGGGTGCAGGCGTTGACCCAGAACGTGGGACTCGGTGAGTAGGGCTCCACGGTTTCTTCCACGGTTAAGGGGCCAGTCCCTAAAATCAAGCAAAAAATGTAAAAATTTTAAAAACAATGAGGGCTAATAATCTTACGCCCACCAGATGTCGCTAGATGGAATTGAGGTGATTTATTTGTTATGCATACACGTGTCATTATCATTGAAAAAGTTGTGATTTAATTATAGGTTTTTTTCGTTTTCCAGTGTATGTACATAAAACAATGCCTCAGTGCTGTATTCTTTAATTTTGTTTTACACATTTTTAACTGTCAATTCTGTTAATTCTTTTATTAAACTGTGTTCATTCTTCTATTTTTAGGAAAATCATTAGTTTGTTTTATACATTTTTTATATAATTAATATAAAACCTAACTAATTTTTTTATCTTCATTTATCTTTAATATGTTCATTTATCTTTACATTTTTTTACAAATTAACTTTCCTCGCTATGAAATCTGTCAAATAAAACACCTTATTTTTAGGTGGCGCCGCTCTGATGAAAAAACCGTGTTGATAACCGCCTGACAATGCTTTTTTGTTGCAGCGGAGTCTCCCGCACCCTCGACCCTGGGCTCTCTCCAGAACCTGAACATGGACTCGATGCTGCGTCAAACCTTCGTGCCGGACTATTCGGTGCGAGCGATCGCGGACCTCTACTACCTCACCATCAAGCGGTAATATACCTTACCGTTACCGTTACAGCCTATTAACCGCAACCGCAAGGGTTGACAACTGCACTTTTTTTATTTTTAGTCGTTATTAAGAAGACCCTGCTGCCCATCTCCTGGTTTATTTCCCTCTGTCGCCTCTTACGACAACCCACGGGACTATATGAGTTAGTGGACATTCTTACACCGTTATGTACCTATTATTCGAGGCGTACGCACACTAACACAATGAATAGAATAGAATAGAATATTTTTTTTGTTAAATATACATTACATGTGTAATTCTTATTTAAAGTCATTTTTTACTTTACCACTGGTTCGAAAAAAAAACCCTCTGTCCTGGAAGAACCAGCAAGAAACCCAGCGGAACTTTTTTTTAAAAATAAATATTACAATATAAATGATTACGAACTATTTACAAAATTTATTTTAGAAACTGCTTGGAAGCGACCACCTCATTCCCAGGGGTTATTATCAACCATGTGTACGTGCACGGATAACAACAACCAAAGTCAACACTTCATCGTGAAATATAATAACTATACTACACAGAGAGTCTTACTTAGACATATAAAGTGTAGTACACATACATATATACATATTACATATACTTACATATACTACATTTGTTTACTGAATTTTTGAAATTTTAATAACTACAAAAAAATTTAAACTTTTTGTATTTATTAAAAATACACGTAAATAAGGTTACTACATTTATTTGAAAATATCCGAAATTGTATGTGATTTCTGGGCAACGATCACAGCGTACGCGCTTATATTGTACGAGTCCATGCACGAAGCTTTTGTACTAAACATGTTTACATACTTTAGACTTCCCGGAGCTTCGGTGCTTTCATTCGGTGAGGAGTCAAGATGCGTAAAAAACCCGTAACATTAGTTTTAATCCATGTGTGGTATTCATTATTATAGAACTGTATTTATGAAATTTTCAAGTCTACTCGAAGTAAATAAAAATATCTATATCTTTTTATGGTGCCAATCAATATTAAATAGGACCAATGATATGAATAAAATGTCTCAAATAAATATTACATTACTTTGTTAAAACTAAATTTACTTTAACTATGAATACATATATTATGTAAAGAGTAAAATGTAAATAATAATAATACATTTTGATTTCAAGACTATTTACCTTTCTTATGGATACATCGGAATCGGAAGACACGCCATATATAAAAAATAGTAGGAGTTTCTAGACATATTGTAAGTATATTCACGTGTTTCTGTAGCATGTTACCAATCATCTACGTCTAATAGTATTTTTAGACATAGAGACATAGACACCAAGGTGACTCTAAAAGTGATCGAATATTTCTAAATTTGACACGGAACAGCATTTAATGATGTCCCTAAATTCAAGCGCACGCGAGCGAAGCCGCGGGTAAAAAGCTAGTTAATAATAAATTGTACACTGTGTGTAATAAATTGTACTCTAAAGATCGTGGATTCGAATCCGCCTTTCGACTACTGTCGTAAACCACTTCTAACCCAAGCTTTTTAAGCTACCAGTAACACTTAGTAACTACCAGTAGTGGTTAAAGGGAACATTAGCAATGTGAATAGTATTGCCAATATATTTTTTTAAATAAAAAGGAAGGAAAAAAAGGAATATCGACTACTCCATAATAGTAAGTGGGTGTAGCAAGAGGTGACTGAGGGAAACAAATCAGGAAATAACATTAATAAATAACTGTGGCTAGGTACCAACCTATGAGACAATCTATAGGGTAGGTATATAATATGTTCAGCAGTGGACTTTTAATATGCTGTAGTGGATGGATGTATAGAAGATAATCTACCAGGAGCACATGACCCACTGAAAGATGAAATTTTCAAATCAACAGTAACATTACAACTATGGCAAATATCCCCCCTACGAGGCAATCTATGGAGGAGGCCTATGTTCAGCAGTGGACTTTAATAGGCTGTAATGATTACGGTGATGATGATGACTGCAAATATGGCGTGAAACGCATAGCGCCATCAGCCTGCTTGTACATACGTCCGTACTAAATTTGTTTGTTTATCCACAGATCCCTGTACCTGGCAGCCAAACGTGCCACCCTGATGGAGAAGGGGGCCCTCAACAAAGGGGGGACCAACGAGCAAATCGAGCCCGAGGTTGACAAGGTGAGTCTCTCCTTCAATCAGCAATTCTTTTATATCTGGAAGTATGACAAACGAGCACACAGTTCACCTGACGTTAAATTAATGCTGTGGTCCATAGACAGCTACGTTGATTAAGGTTCAATACGCAGATGCGTTGTCACCAGTGAGGACTAAGATGGAATGCCTCTTTTCCAGTAAAATGCGTCTCCGGTTCTCTATACTCACCATACGAAACACGGCAGCGTTAAGCTGGTAATTCACGCTGATATTCTGTGAAAGCGTGGTCTTTCGAGCCGACCTATTCGTGCTACAATCATAGTATAGCTGTAACGGTTCTACCACGTATGGTGCGTGTGAGTGAGTGACGTATTTTAATATTTAAACAATAATTTTCAGCTTCTGAGGGAAGGCGACAAAATGGAAGAAATCCCTGAAATAGAGAAGCCACCAAGACAGGTAATTATTCCTTTTCTGTTTTTTTTTAATTATATTACTAGCGATCTGTCCCGGCTTCGTACGGGTGATATCTGGATTTTACCACAGCGCCATCTACCGGGTCCCAGAATGCTTTCGCGCAAGTACAAGCTATAAGTTGACAAAGTTTTAGCGCAATCTGATGATCGGTATGGTAACGCATAAAATACGAACAAATATTAATTTTTATATATTAGACTAAGGCCTGATTTTTCTTTCTCTTTATTTGGATCACTAACAGATGATACACAATACTAACAAAAATATAACTCAACACTGCGACTACATGCTACGTGTTCATCTTCTTACAGGTAACCATAACTTACACAAATAGCGAAGTGATTTTTATTAAAAAAGAAAAAAGGAAACAGATATGCTAATAAATATACACGAAAAACCAGATTTGGTATAGATACAGTTTGTGTATTTAATGCTTAGTCTATGACGCCCATTACACGGTAGGTTTTGCTGTCAGTTTTACAACAATCACGGTTGTGATTGACGAATAACCTATCGTGTAATGTAGTGATAGACGGTTGCATGAAATTGATTGACAAATATCTGGATATTTTGATTTTTACGTCAATCAACTATTCAGTCACGAATTTTGATTGAACGTGTAATGGCATTTCATCAATCACGCGTCAGTCAACGCTCAGATAGCAATGGAGGCGGACGCAGAATATATTAAAGAGGCTGCTTCTACGCGCTCGCGCAACCCGTCGCCACTCCCACCAAATGTGTTTCAGCCAGAAAAAGATTTTATTTTAAATTTTCAGTCTCTGCCCGAGTTGTGGGACACGAAAAACCCCGGGTAGGTTGGATGCCCCTAATACCAGCCACGCCCCTAATTTCAGCCTTTTTACTTCGTAAATAAGATTTCCAGTAGTCTTAACTACAAATATGGTCGGCTAAAAATTCTTCTTAATTAGAGGAAAGTATATTTCAAATATTACCTCACAGTTTTAAACCTAACAGTGTTAAATTAAAAATCAAAACATAAGCATATTTTACATTAGCTCATCTTTAGGCATTTTGATTTGTATGAAAGTGAGTATAGACATAGTAATGCAGCTATTTTTGTTTAAATTCATAAGTTTTTATTTTCTTTTAGTGGAAATTAATGGGGCTGTAATTAGATATACGAAATTTATGGAGTGCATAATGTCAGTCGCCCGACTATTATTTTGTTTGACGTAAATTATAAGAAGTACCTTATTTCAACCACGTAATATAAATCAGGGCTGTCATAAACTAGCATAAATACCATTAATTTGAACTCACACAGAAAACCAACGTAGAATAGCAGCTTAACGCTGCTGTGTTTCGTATGGTGAGTGTAGAGAACCGGAGACCCTTTTTACTGGCAAAGAGGCATTCCATCTTAGTCCTCACGGGTGACAACGCATCTGCATCTTGAGTCTATATTGAGGATAGATGTAGATGTTTATGGGTCATAGTAGCCACTTACCATCAGGTGGACTGTGTGCTCGTTTGTCACCCTATCCTATATAAAAAAAACATAACTTATTTTATAGTTAAGTAAGTTATGGTCAATTCGTCTATATTTTAAAATTGGTGTTTGATTTAAAAGTTTAACAAATGATACGTACTTGCTTTTCAGACATTTGGTATATGTTAAGAACACCATACAATATTTAATTATTTTTTGGGAAAGACAAAAACAAACAATAAATGTAATTAACTACAACTTAGTAATACTAATTTTATTATAACTTAAGAACATAAATGAAAAAGTCATAACAAGGAAAGTGGTTCAGGACCATGCTTTGCGGCAGTCTATGGAGGATGATGTTCTGTAGTCGACTTGTGAAGGGCTGAAATGATGATAAAGATTGTAAAACTTGGATGATTAAATTATAAGAAATCGGTGTACTATAATACATAATTTTTATTATAATATTATTTTAATTAATTGTTTAGTGTTAAAAGATAAAAATGTAACTGCTTAAAGCTAAACCACAGTAAGGTAAGAAGTAAAACATTAAAATAAAATAATTGTTGTCGTCTATCTTAATACATATTCCATACTTGTGACATGCATGATTTAAAATTAAAAGTTGTTGTGAATTTATTTCAGTGCCCCTAAAATTTACCTACAATAGGTACCTACCAAAAACTCAAAAGGCATAGCCCTATGCTATGCTGGCATTAGATACACAAAAGGAAATTGAAATTGGCACTAAAAGGCTGGTAATAGGGGCATTCACCCTATACGAATAAATGTAAAAGTTAATTTTATTTTTCGCCCATAAATGCGTTTTAAATAAAACCGCGTATCGATTATGCACTCCAAGAGGTCTAACATTTGCGCGCGTTAAATTAAAATGGGTAAAATGATATTAAATATTACAATTTTTCCTATTCGTTTTTTTTTCTTTTTCTTTTCAAGATATAAAATTATAATTAAATGGTGAATCGAAAATGAACTTAGGTTATAGGTACGTCCTTTCACTCCGAAAATTTGGGTTTGACTGACGATCAGTCAGCATGAGCGTGTAATGTCCAAATTATTCCATCATTCAAACCTCAGTCATGATTAATCGAACTGATTGACGCTTGCCTAGGCGTGTAATGGGCGTCTATGTATATGACGGCACCTGCACCGTTGCAGATGCGGTGGCGTCGGTCTAGCTAGACAGAATTCTTGTAAACGACACGTGTACCGCACAGCTGGGGCATTGCACCTGCGTTGCCGCCCGTCCTGCTTGTATAAAACGGACTGAGCGGCCGCCGTTAAGACAGTCTTGGCTCTGACGTGGAACGGTGTGCTTGTCGTATTCCGTTACTAGTTTATCCTCGACTCGTTGGATAATTAATTCGTGTAAACGAATTAATTACTATTCCTAACTACAAAATCAGTCTCTGTACTATACTCAATTACCCTTTCTACATATATAATATTAATATTTTTAATATTTTATTTTAAACAACGATATGATAAAGTATTTTCATTGACAATGACGATAACAAGTCGCTAAAGTCAAAACAGTAATTAAAAATACCCGACTACTTAAAAAAGTGTACTGAAAGGGGAAAAGTTTTATATCCTGTGGTCATTTTACAACTAAGGCGATTATAATGTCATGTCATATGTTAAGATCCATCAAGCAATATGAGAGTTTCTTGCTGGTTCTTCCCAGGACAGAGGTATTTTCCGAACCAGTGGTTAATAAAAAAAACAATGTGAGTGGTTAATAACAAATATCAATGTTGAATAATAAAATAAATTATTAAAAAAATCAAAAACCGGACTGCAAAAAGACAATTTAAAAGTAACGCACTAAAAAGACCGAAATTGTTACTTATTCATATGATAGCACGAAAGTCGGACACAAACATACCTTTTAACCTATTTATTTTTCCTAATTATATATAAACATATATATATATATATATATATATATATATATATATATATATATATATATATATACTAGCTGACCAGGCAGACGTCGTTCTGCCCTTTCCGACGACCATTTACTTTCCTAAAATAACTCCTGAAATTAACAATTAAAAAACTACTTTGTCCTATAAAAATCCTTTTTTTTTTATATAGGATAAGGGTGACAAACGAGCACACAGTCCACCTGATGGTAAGTGGTTGCTGCGGCCCATAGACATCCACATCTATCCTCTGTTACAAATCAAAATGTAGATGCGTTGTCACCCGTGAGGACTAAGATGGAATGCCTCATTTCCAGTAAAAAGCACCTGCACTCACCAAGCGAAACGCAAAGGTAAACCTCTACTTCACGCTGGTTTTCTGTGAGGTCGTGGTACTACCCCGGTTCGAGCCGGCCCATCCATACGACAGCAAAAGCTGCCGCGTGGCTCTACCACTGTTAAAATTAAATTTAAATTACCAATAAAAAATATTGAGGGTCATTTATCGGGATAAAAACTCTCTAAATATACTCGATAAGTTTGGTAATTTTTTTTTATTTACATATTACAATTTCGCGCCAAAAATCCGCCTTTTTACTTTTTTTCAAACAGCTATCTAAGGACACTTGGGTTTATAAGACTAATATATCGATACCTTAATTGTCGAAATCCTTCCAGCCGTTTGGAAGATACGAGGTAATAAAGAAATTTACAAACATGCAAGATACGCGCGAAAAACATAACCCTTCCTTGGCTGTGTCGAAATCCTTCCATCCGTTTGGAAGATACGAGGTAATAAAGAAATTTACAAACATGCAAGATACGCGCGAAAAACATAACCCTTCCTTGGCTGTGTCGAAATCCTTCCATCCGTTTGGAAGATACGAGGTAATAAAGAAATTTACAAACATGCAAGATACGCGCGAAAAACATAACCCTTCCTTGGCTGTGTCGAAATCCTTCCATCCGTTTTAGAAGATACGAGGTAATAAAGAAATTTACAAACATACAAGATACGCGCGAAAAACATAACCCTTCCTTGGCTGTGTCGAAATCCATCTAGCCGTTTGGAAGCTACGAGGTAATAAAGAAATTTACAAACATACAAGATACGCGCGAAAAACATAACCCTTCCTTGGCTGTGTGGAAATCCTTCCATCCGTTTGGAAGATAAGAGGTAATAAAGAAATTTACAAACATACAAGATACGCGCGAAAAACATAACCCTTCCTTGGCTGTGTCGAAATCCATCTAGCCGTTTGGAAGATAAGAGGTAATAAAGAAATTTACAAACATACAAGATAAGCGCGAAAAACATAACCCTTCCTTGGCTGTGTCGAAATCCATCTAGCCGTTTGGAAGATACGAGGTAATAAAGAAATTTACAAACATACAACAGTACCAAAGAAAATAGACATACATACACTCGAAAAATAACAATTACAGTGCATTTCTAAGTGCTCGTGTAACCTGTGAAATATATTTGTTTCATCGAGACGACGGTTCATAGATATGCTAACATCCGATAGATGCTGCTGTAGTTAGTTTATTAACAAATTCTATATTTGTGTACCAAAATGACGTATATTTACAATTTAATATGTAGAATGCAAAGATAAATAAATAAAAACACATAATTAATAGAATGAGCGTTACTTTGCGGAAATCCATTGTATTAAATCTTGGTTTTGTTCTTCGCATCTGTAAGCTATTCTCAAAAATGGTTTATTTTGCGTATGTCAGAAGTGTTTTGGAATATACTAGTTCGATATGGTCTCCACAGTACAATGTTTACAAAAGCCGCCTTGAGCGTATTCAAAAGATATTTGTTAATCACCTTAACTTTCGCTGTCGGAATAAAATCGATACTTACACAGACAGTTGCACTGTGCACGATCTCTAATCTCTGGGACACAGGAGTGTTTTGCTTGACATGGCTTTGTTATATGATGTAATAAACAGTAATATTGACTGTCCATATCTAGTCTCAAGAATCACCTTTCGTACTCCAAAATTCCGCACCCGCAATACTACATTGTTACAGACTCTCTGGCATCATTCAAGCTACTGTCAAAACTCTGTTCTTTCGCGGCTCGCTCGTACGTATAATGCACAATTTGGACACATTGACCTCTTTGCGAAATCTAAACTCATGTTTAAAGATTACATCAAGAAAACTATTAAGAAATAAAGCAGTTGAAGTTAAAATCACATAAAATCATATATTCCCTCTTCTATTTTTTCTATATGTATTTTTGAGGCTACTAATATAAATATTAGTACTTAAGTTATTTTATTTAATATATATATTATAATTAATTAATTATAATACATAAGTAAAATATCATTCTACCTGACTCTCTCTCCTGGTCTGTAAATGGCGAGGTTCTTCAAATTGGAACACAGTGTTAAAATGCTAAAATCCTGGAAAATATTGTAGTACCAACTGAAATATTGTAGTACCAACTGTACCAACAAGGGTTCAACACACGTACTCCTGAGATGTCGGTGGTTCTGACCAAGGTTCGAGCTATTCTCTATGGAAGGTCATTGTCTACCCTTTCCACGAGTACACAACGATGAGCTTGCCCAGGATTCCGAGGAAGACTAACCGGCACAATCGTTTCCGATCTCGGCAGAAGAACAATCTTCTTAAGGCTGTACACATTCCCTGGTAACGCCCCTTCCACAAAAAGTTTCTCTTGTCCACATTTTAAAACACCTTGCTTTACGTCGATCTCACAACAATTATTCCTCATAAAGTCTAGGCCCAGAATGCAGTCGTCCATTATATCAGCCACGATGACATTATGCTGGTAGATCATGTTGCCTAGCTTCAACTCCATATCCTTCTCTCCACGGACGGGTATGCGCTGACCAGTGGCTGTCACCAAATTAATGCGTTCGCGGCTGTATGCGGAGTCCCCAAGGAACTGACTTATAAGTTGGGAACTGACAACCGTGCGAGAGGCTCCAGTGTCTATGGTCAGTTTACACGGCGTTCCGTTGACTTCGCCCTTGATGATTAGGCTGTTCCCATCATGGGTTTGTGAGATCGAAATCCTTGGGGCTCTTTTAACATCAGCCAGCACCCGCCCCGCAGTCCTGGCTTTTACTCGTTTCCCTGCTGCTGCTGGGCGGTGCTATTAGCCGCACTACCCTCTCGAGATGGATCACCTTCCCTTTCTACAGTTCGCTTAGGGCAACTGGATCGAAGATGGCCCCTTTCCTCACAGCCGTAGCACCTACGGCTGTAGCCGTTATTGCGGTCCCGAACTGTAGCTGCTGCAACCTCCCTAATGCGATGGGAACGATGATCCTGCCGCACGGCTTCCACCTCCAGTGCATGGGTCAAGGTGTCCTTAAGAGTCTCGTGGTGCCCGAGCCTCACAGCAGCTCTGACTTCAAGGTCGCGGATGCCGTCGATGAATGTCTGCACCAGGTTCCCTACAATGAGCGCAGGTACAGACTGGTATGCTTTTCGAACCAGCTTCTCTACCTCAAAGGCCCATTGCTGCAGGTTTTCGTTACTGCGTTGCACGCGATCTTTGAGCTGCGCACGAAAGACGTGTTCCAGGTGAGCATCGCCATATCTCGCCTCCAATGCCTCAAGGAGCTGCTCGTAAGTCACTTCATTACCGAGAGCTTCCAGAACAGTTAAGGCCTGGTCGCGCAGGCCTAGGGTGAGAGCAGTCATTGCCTGACTTTTATTCCAGCCGTTCGCCTTCATGACAGGCTCGAATTGGATTTTGTAGGCCGACCAGGAAGAAGTCCCGTCGAACGGCGGCACTTTGAATCCACGTAGCGAAGGTGTTGTAGCTACCACGGGAGCTGTAACTCCATCCCCAAGTTTGAGGTCGTCCAGCGTTTTCTTCACGTCAGCCATCACGTTGTCAACCCGATTGTACACTTGGTCGATTCGAGTTTCAGCTTCCGACAGGCGGTTGTCATATTGAGCAACCTTATCCTTCACCTCCCTTATCTCTTTCCCGAAGGTAGCGTGAAGGTCCTTCATGAGAAGTATCTGCTCTTCCTTATTGCGTTTGAGCTGCTCTTCCAACCGACGGCCCTGTTCCTCCTGTTGGCGGGCCTGTTCCTCTTGTCCGCGCTGCAGCTGTTCTTCCAACCGACGGGCCTGTCCTTCCTGTCTGCGCTGCAGCTGCTCTTCCAACCAACGGGCCTGTTCCTCCTGTCGGCGAGCCTGTTCCTGCAGCATCATCATCAGAGCACATAAGCAGGTGCTGTAGATGCAGGAGCTGATGACAGACCGGCCTCCGTGGTCAGCAACTGGCCCTCCGATGTTTGCGGCGTTGTATTACCAAATCGTCTCTGGTCCGTCTCCAGCTGGCGTTGACTTCGGGTACGGATACCCTCCATGTCGTCCTTTAGTAAAATCGGCATGATTTAATCCCACTTCTGACACCAATTGTTACGAGCTTGAGGTTCGAGACAATTAAAAACTGCCGATTGAACTACCAAAATTGACACTTTAATTACGGATACTAATTACCCCTTAAAACACACTAATAATAAAACACAATAATTCTACTGTACATTTTATAAAAAAATGTTTTGGTTATTATAGATTAATGGTTTACTATATTTTCCTTCACAGTTTATACCGACGTCTTCCAGTCTCCTAACTAACTCTACATTCAAAAAGGTAGAAAAAGACCGTAGCAACCCAGAAGAAGAGAAGCTGCTGAAAAAGTAGAAAAATCGACATGGCAACACCGCGCCGACAATGACAAATACCGAGTTCAATGCTAAGATAATTTAACATTTAGATTATTTACGATTAACATGTTTTAGGTAGAAGTGTATTTGAGCGTTCACTATAAGTAAATTTTGTTAAAAAAAATAGTTTATATTATTTAACTGCGCATTTGTCGTGAATTTTAAACCTAGCTTAGTCTGTAGGTACTGTACTTATTGCCTTTAGATACACAATCAGTGACAAAAATGTCCTTACGGAATGAGCGCCCACTCGAACATTTGGGTGCGCTTTTAATCTAGTAACATTCGAATGCTCCGACGGTAAACATGCCACAGTGCTCGTTTAAAAAGTGTAAAAATCACACATCCAGGACGCTAAAAAATAATATTATCATTATTTAATTGTTATTACTGTATTGTAAATACTGATATTTTGTCAAGAAATCATCGTAAAAACATTTTCTAAATTAATAACTCATTCCTTGTTCAAGCGACGAGCCTCTGTCGTAAAATTAGATTGTTTTTTATTGGCACTTTGTAATTCTGACTTAAAACATGCGTGTAAGGTTGAATTTGTTTTGATATAGTTTGACCAGCGAGTATCGGTCATAAAAATGTATTGCTTTTTGTACGTAGTTTTGTGAATACAACTTTAGACAATGCATTTAAGGTTGAATTTACATTAATGTATATTTATTTCAACTAGAATTACGTCAAAAAAATTGGCGACAGTTTTTGGATAACTTTTGTATGGGATTGTGTAACTAGTTTTTTATTAGTGATCGAAGGATCGGAATCATGACGGCGCTTTTGCCGCCATTTTTGACATTAGTGACGTCATACCGAGATAATAATACCTGTGTCTATTAAACAATTCGAGAATTGTTTAATAGACACAGGTTCATAACTCAGCGAAATTCCTGGCGTTAACTCAGTACTCAGGCGCTTACTGCGCCGGTTCATTGTGTTAACTCTAAAGTCCGCCAAAGCTGTCTGTAAAATTTGTTAAGCCATCAACTCTTTCAAAATAATAAAAATAAATGTAGAAAAGAAAAAAGACCTATCACTATAACTCCTTTTTAATTTCAAGGAGTTGCAGTTTATAAAAATAATATAAAATGTCTTCAACAACACTCCTTTGCATTCTGCGGGCAACTCACCTTAAGGTTGTTGCCACACCAATCGATCGATGGTAGAATTGATTAGTCGACGGCGATTGAGCCGCTTGATTATTCGAAAACCTGCCCGCTTCACTAACGCTATTTAAAATGTCTAGATGAGTTTAAGCGATCTCTGACCCTAAAAAACGGTCGCATTCAGATTTTTCTGCGTTTGCCTCCCTGTAATAACAAAGAACTGACCAACAATAACGCGTCCTCTTCTAACTACATTTTGAAAGATACTGATGATGAGCCCACAACCACATCGATTAATTTTCAATTGATGATTGAACAATGTTTTATCGACCAGTATCCGTCGATCAGCTGAAGCTACCACACCAATCGATCGACATCAATCGATGTCGATCAATGGCATCGATCGACGATCGATCGATTGGTGTGGTAACACCCTAACACCTTTTGAATACATTATGAAGAAGAGGGTTAGCACATGTCAAATTTTTTAATCTGCGAAAATCATGCGCATCACAAATCATTTATTTCTATAATATTTACTAATACATTATAATGCAAAGCTGGAATTGTGTGCTGTTTTAATTTTTTTATATTTAATGTCGTACAAAATGTCACGGTGCTTCCGCTGTTTTACTTTTATTAATTGTATTTTATTATAATATTCTGAAGTTTTGTTTTTTAATTTCTGTCCTATAGTGATGGTATTTGTTACTCAATGAATTTCAAAGAAATTTATCGACACATTTTTAAATAGTTTCTAAGGATTTTGAAGGTGTCTACTGAATTTATTTGTAAAGCAAAACTAAAAACGCATTTCGTTGAATATAAAAATATAAGAGAAAACCTCCATCAGCTTCTCTTGAGGACTTGGAAATAATGTCCATTGCCCCTCACGACTTTATCGTTGAAGTTAATAATTATGATAGTGATGCAGTGGTAAATAAAATTACTTACATGTCTTACAAATTTAATTAAAATTAAAGAACTTTATTTTCCATTACTTTAGTACCTAGGTAGTGCTCTGAAATCTACTCTTAAAGCATACAATTTACAATCAAAAATTATTTTCCGAATATTCAAAATTTAATATACTTAGTAACAATTTAACATAAATTTCTTTATAATTAATTATATTCAAAATTGAAATGTCACAAATTCATATATAGTGGTCTATATAATATCATAACACACATTTTACTAGATTATCTACACAGTCCGATTATAATTTTTTATTAGGTATTATAATTAATAATTTATTAAATTACCTTTTGTCTTGGATCATAATAATATTTCTACAACATAGAAAATACCTGATTCAATAAAGGGCAAAATAGAGATGACAGGTGACAGGAAAACATGTTAATAAATGTTTTAATGATTTATTTTAGGATCCAGTGACTGTGGCTACAACATCAAAAGAAGTTGCTGACCCTAAGCCTCGCCTTAATTTTGAAAAAACAGACACAGCTATAGTTAAAAATGTAGAAAATCCAGAACCCAATGTTGTATATGTGCAAGGTAAATAATACTGATTGAATATTTATTAAAAAGCAAAATATATTATTATTATAGTTACAATCATAGGCATACAAGTTTGTAAATATTATAAATGTTAATTTTCTAAAACTGTTATATTTATATTAATTTTTAGAGATAGATCCAACTACAGATACAGAAGAAAGTGCCAAAATGGTGAAAATAACCAACAATAAAGATATTATTACTAGGGGTATAACAAAAATTAAAAACAGGAAAAATAGCTTGCAAAATAGGTATGTTGAAAAAATTACATAGTCTGATACATTACATACTTTTTAAAATGTGAAAATTAGTATTTAAACACTGAAAATTGTTTCATGTTTTCAAATATTAAAAGCAAAGTTTAATATGAATTGATTTAAAAATAATTAAAAAATATTTCTTTAATTGGTGTACAAGGTTAAGTGCACTTTTATTACTCTAGAATACTTTGTAAATTTCTAAAATAACTACAAAACTTACATTAAGTATTCCATTTCATTTTACAGAAGAGAAGATGTACACCAAACAATTGTAAAAAGTAACACAGATTTAAAAAAAAGACAACTGGAAATGATGGAAGAGGAACATAAATACAATATTAAAATAGCTAACCTAAAAATTAGAAAATTAGAGTTACAAATATTTTTATTAGAAAGTCAGAAAAACACAAGTTAAATAGCAGCTTAATGCTGCTGTGTTTATTATGGTGAGTTTATAGAATGAGAATAGAATAGAATGATTTTTATTAAATATAGATTATTACAGAATACTTATTGAAAGACATTTTTTATTTACCACTGGTTCGGAAAATACCTCAGTCCTGGGAAGAACTAGTAAGAAACCCAGCGGGACTTTTTTATAAACATATTTCTCTTAACAATAATTTTATTTGTACAATTTTTAAATGAATTTTAATAGAACCACCATGGTGGCGATCACCTCAATTCCAGTATTTCCAATATTCTCATTTATGTATTCTTTGATATTATAATAACCTTTTTATAAAATTTTTCTTTAATAAAACATTTAAACTTGTTTATTGACAAATTTTGGATAAATTTTTGTACAAATTTTGTATGAGAGAGACCTCTTTTACAGGAAACGAGGCATTCCATCTTACTCCACACGGGTGACAACGCATCTGCATTTTGATTTGTAGTCGAGGATAGATGTGGACGTCTATGCACCACAGCAGTTACTTAACATCAGATGGACTGTGTGTGTGTGGTAGACTGTGTTTATCACCATTATCCTATAAAAAAAACTAAATATTTGAGACTATATCAGATACATGTTTGTAAATATCCTCATATATGAAACAATTATTTTCAGGTACTAAATTGCTGCAAATATTTGTACATCTTTTATTAATAATTAAAATAAATAATTATAATTAATATGCATTTTATTTACATAACAATGAAATATAATATACAATAGTAAAAAACTATAATAAAAAAAACTAAACCTAATTACTTAGTCATCATACAGTCCTACTCCCCGTGGACCCGTGCACCTCTGGAAAGGAAATCCGGCTGTGAATGTAGAGGAGGGACGATATTTATTAAAAAATCTAAACATATCTCTAAAGCACTTAAATCTTTATATAATATAGCTTCATATTGATGTGGAATGTGCTGTACCCCGCATCTTTCCCTGAAACACAATCATTTATAGCCTAAATAAAAGCATTTTGCTCAATAAATGAAATATTATCACAATACTCCCCTGAATTTATTTCATATTGGTGAATATGTAGTCGTTATTCTTTGACAGCTGACAACGGCTCTGCAGAAATATTTTCCTTTATAAATGGGTATTATCTCTGAAATCAAAAAGAAATATTATTATAATTGTCTTATACATTTATTGATCCATAATGTAATTTTATAGCCAAAATTGGCCTCTGAATAACAAAATAAAATAAATTATATATACATAGCTTTAGACAATTGAAAAAAAATTGACAATTTTATAAATATAAAATATATATAATTATTAATTTTAATTATAAATAGCTATATATAAATATGTAAAAAAAAATGTTTACCTACTGAAAATGAGTTTCAATAAACTGTCTTCTTCTAATATTTCCCCTTATTGATGGTGCAATATATCTTTGTACTATAGGTTCAGATGAATATTGTTCAATGCTATCTCTCTCACCAGAAAACACATCTTCTCTCATGTCGATGGCCATATTGTGTAGTACAGCACATGCAACAATTGTTTTTTTTGCTGTTTCAATATCTCCAAACATACCTCTTAATAGGCAACGAAACCGTTGCTTCCACAAACCAAAACATCTTTCCACTGTGTTCCTGGTACGGATATGGCTCCTATTATATCTTTCTTCTTGTGGTGTTGTGGGGTTCAGCAGCGGTGTAAATAGGTAAGGGGTACAAGGATAGCCACTGTCACCAAGTAATATTCCAGAGAATGCACCAGCCTCAAACCTCTGTTTTAGTCTACATTCTCGGAATATTCTGGAGTCATGTACACTACCACGCCACCTGGTAACAATGTCCATGATTTTCAGGTCAGCGTCACAAACCACCTGTAAAATAAGAGCTCATTAGTACTTTATGTTTTTCTGGTTTATTTTAATATATATTTATTACCATAAGATAGTCAAACAAATTATTTTCTATTATGATAAAGTAAAGTTATTAAGAGACAATCACAGCTATTTAAAATATTTGTATATAATTGAAGAAAATCCTTTTCTATTAATATATAACTGACCCCCATCAGCATTCACTTTCTTTACTCGTATGTGAGTACAGTCAATTGCGCCAATTACTGTAGGAAAATTAGCAATACTGCGAAATTTCCTAATGGTTTCCTGCTGTTCATTTAAAGTAGTAGGCGTTTTAATAAATTCTCGGGACTTCCGTGACAAAATTTCCGCTACTATTTTACATGTCCTACTTACTACTGGTTGAGACACACCATGTAAATCAGCTGTATCGTCTTGAATCTACGAATAAAACAATAATATGTATTATTTGGCTTTTTATCTAGCGTAATGTTAGGTACATTGACCCCACCAAGATTATAAACAGCACTTACTTCATGGCGAGCCCAGTTGCGTAATGCACAAACCACTTGAATTTCAGGACTCAATGGGCATCCTCGAGGGTCGTGCACTAAATCCTCACGTAAGATACCCACTATTTTTTCTCCGAAACGTTTTGAGAACCTATACTTATACCTAAAATCTTCGTCACTCAATTCAAACGGATTCACACGATGTCGATGTCTATCAGGTCGCCGAGTGGTGTCTAGCATGTCCAAATCTTCTAAATCCATCAAGTCAATCATGTTAATATCCATTTTTAACGATTTTAATAACACCAAATGAAAACAACGCTCACCTCAAATTAAGAAGTACCGAAATTGAGGTTAGTATAGAGTACCACAAACTATATAGAAAGGTTAGTACCATAGCTAAACTAGGGGCAGGGCATAGAATCTTAGTACATTAATGCTTGAAAAACGCAATTATTATTATACTAAATTTAGATGAACCAAAAGAACATATAAAGTCTATCAAACGTATAGTTTTTAGATTTTGTCGTATTATAATGTACTAGATCCATCTGTTGGCACAAGATGTCGCCTCTGTTGATGTAAGAAGATAAAATTAAAACGCTATGTGGTTATGAGATTCAACAACCTATTTGACAACATTTTTAAAATGGTCGCATTGACTTGAGTGCAAATTCCTCCAATCTGACATACAGACATAATTAAAATTATTGCGTTTATGAGAGTTTGAGACAAAGATTCTTATATTTTGAGTGTTGTTTTAGAGACAGGGACTCTTCATCTCCTCAATATTTCTAGTAAAAAGTATTGTGTTCACGGCTGCATGGACTGTGGAAGTAAGTATATTCCGTAATTTGATAAGATTTAAACTAAACATATTATCAAAAATCTCTTGCATCTGCTCTAAGATGTTTTTAAAGTAATCTGCTATGCCTGGTATGGACGGCTGTAGGCTGATATCCATATTAATATATTATTATATGTAATAAATGTAAGATTTTGAAGTTAGGCGGACTTCCACTGGAGTGATGACCTGGTATATGATGTAGGTGGCTAAGGACCGTGCTTTGTGTTTTTTATTGAAGAGGCAAGAGGCCTATGTTTGGTCTGTAACGATGATGATGATGATGATTAATTGTTTGTTTTATTTAATGTTATAGTCCGTGCTGAAAAAATTCGTCACCATAATAATAGTGTACTGTAAAATATCAGTTTATTAATAAATAATTTGTATTTGACACAATTGATTGTACTTGTATTAGAATAATAATAATAAAAATATTTCTATTCTTTTAATCAGTCCAGTGTAAGTCTTATGTATTCATGACTAAATTAAATTATGTATTTAGTCTTAAAAATTGTATGTTAATAAAAACAGAGAACCCATCACCTCATTTCGTCCCATGGGTGTTATGTTATAAGAGATATGACAAATAATCTCATGAGTTCTGTTTAGTCGGCGGTATAACCATCTTGTTTACGCCAGACGTAAAATCCAAATTGACGATGGACAAGCTGCGTCAAAGGTGTTCACGTCTAGATCTATGATTGTCAAGCCGCCTGCCAAGCATGACAGGCTCAAGTCCAGCAGTAAAGTTTAATAGGCCAATAAAAAAGAAAAAAGTCACAAAAACCTTGCTGTGCTCTGATAATACAAGTGTTTATTAATGGATTAATTAACTTTTTGTTTTTCAGAAAAAGGCATTCTTCCAAGAGAATATGCGGAAACTGCCGAAATTCTCCTCTTTTTTGACAAGGTATTCGATTCTGTTAATCGCAGCTATAATAAAGAAAATACTATATGTAAAGCCTCTTCTTGGACCAGCAAGGCCAAACTCAGAACACCATAAGTTGTGGAATGAAGCAAAAGCTATATTAAATAACATGAAATTTATAAATAAAATGTCTAATAATCATGAGAGTGAGTACTTGGTGTATAAATTCTTTTAAAAAATTGGAAACTAAGTATGGTATTACTTCTGTTTGGATGCGGCACCTCAACCAAGACCCTATTGAAAACTTTTTTGGAACCATTAGAAGCTATGAGTGTCGCAATGTTAATCCAACACCAGAACATTTTCAGAGTGCCTACACTACACTTTTAATTAACAATATGTCCAGGAGCTAATTGTGAAAAAGATAATTGTAAGGCTTTAGAATCTGTTATCATCACAGATAACTGCAAAGCTGCTGCAACCTGTATGCTTGAAACAATCCCGGATGTAGATATAATTGATATTAAAGAGAACACTGCTCCATATATAAAGGGGGCATTAGAGTATGTTAGTGGATACTTTGCTTAGATGTGCTAAAAAATGTTTTTAAAAATTGTAGTGAATGTACTGCTAAAATACTCGCCTTACAAGAAAATGAAATCATTAACATTTGGGAATATGCAGGTAAATTTGGTGGCTTTGCAGTCCCACTGAGTCTCTTATAGTGTGTGTATCTGCAGTGCAAGACATAACAAATTCAGTATTAAAAAATATTTAGATACGAGACAATGTTGAAGAATTAATAAAAATCTTGGTACTAATTCATGTAGATTTTGATTTTTTGCTATGTAAAATAAAATAAGTATTTATTAAATTTGTCTTGCCGCTTTTTCATATTCAAGTATGTGTTGTATGTGTCACAATAATGAAGATGTGTTTCAAATGAAAGCCAAAAAATATTTCCACAAATGTAAAAAAGACGTTTTGTTCAATAAATTACTTAACTTTCTGAAATGAGTTTTTATTTTTACCTCAAAACCTATACTTATTGTAAGAAAAATTTATTACAATAAGTAAAAAGAAAAAACTTCTTACAATAAGTAAAAGGAAACAATAATTTAGTATAGTATAAAGGACTATATAGTAGCTATATATACTACGTGTATAGTATAGCTATATGATAAATATAAATTGTTCCATCCGACACCACCAGACGGCAGCACTTTCGTGAATTCATTTTTGGGCTTGAGATTCGTCTCTATTTCAGTATATATAAAAGTACTCTGTGACTAGGGGTCTCGAAAGATTAACTTTAATACCATAGATAATCCTTGAACCAGAGATAATCTTCGTTTTGTAATAACGTTTTTCTTAGTTTATGGTTTAAATATATTACTAACTCCAGTACTAGGTATATTAAGTCCGTGTTTTGGAATAAGGCGGTATCTGTCAAGCCTTTGAAGTACACATGAGGCAATCCAAGGTCAACTTTGTAGAACGCTCCAAAGAGTATGGTAATATTTAGAAAGGACCCCTCAGAACCAAAGAGTATATGATCACTACACTACGTTTAGTCAGAACCATAGTTATTGTGCTCATAACAATTATTTTTTAAATGTTATTTAGATGAACTATAAAACTAAAATTTTATTAGAATTAATTTCGTTATTAAATTACGCTTCTTTAAATTAACAGAATTTACTTTAAATGACGAGTTTCCGCCTCGCGTCGCGTTTACGTCACATACTTTAGTCTTATATCCTTCGCCGCGTGAGTTTAAGAGGCAACTAGAAATTTTACAAAAAATTAAGTGGGTACAATAGAAAGTTTTTTGTTAGTTTTTATACAAATGGTAAGTAATTACACTGTTTTAAAATTTAATTCCTTATATTTTGCTTCGTAACAATTTCATATATTTTATAAAATTGCCATTTCAAATACTGTGTCGTTCACGTATCACTATATTTAATAGCCAGAATTAACTGAAAAGTAAATAAAAAGTGTGAGTTATCACAATAAATCATGTAATAAACACAAATTTTCATATCCCACAAAGTCCAATGCGCGAAAATTACGTTTTATGTTATAATTTCGATATATAGTGAACATTATGGCGAAGTTGTTTTCAACAATAACTAAAAATAAAAATGTGAATGTGAAGCACCAGCTTTCAAATAAAAAAAGAATCATCGAAATCAGTTCACCCAGAAGGTTATGAGGTAACACACATAAAAAAACACAGTCGACTTCCTTCTCCTGTTTGAAGTCGTTAGAAAAATGGCGTTGCTCAAAGATAGCGTAATAAAGTATATACTTTATTTCGCCGTAAGATAGCGTAATAAAGTATATACTTTATTACGCTATCTTACGGATGTACAAGTATATACCTGTGATTTAATTTTTTTTGAGGCTTCTACTGAGTTTATAGTATATATATATATATATATATATATATATATATATATATATATATATATATATATATATATATAAAAGACTCCGATTACTGCTTACACTTTTATTAGTCCTGAGGCTTTAGTTTAATATCTATGTTTATAATCTATGTTTCGTCACTAACCCAACCGTCTCCCACGGCTGTCTCCCACTTTATGCCCTTTGCTTCGTGCAACTGACCACATCCCCTCTCTTACTGTAGTGTTGTGCCATTCTAATTAAGTTAATTTACCAATAAAATGTCAATTGCTTAAACAGAATATATATATTGAATTTTAACATAATATAGCGATTCGTTAGATTTGCCTTAGTTGTAAAAGTGAAATAATATTTACTTTTTTTTCTTTTCAGTAGAATTGTTTGGTTTTGTTATTTAATATTGTTTTAACCATTGAACTTGTTTACGCAACTTTTGTTTAATAAATTATATATATATATATATATATATATATATATATATATATGTATATGTATATATATTGAATTTTAACATAATATAGCGATTCGTTAGATTTGCCTTAGTTGTAAAAGTGAAATAATATTTACTTTTTTTTCTTTTCAGTAGAATTGTTTGGTTTTGTTATTTAATATTGTTTTAACCATTGAACTTGTTTACGCAACTTTTGTTTAATAAATTGTTTGATGCTGTTTGATGACTTTTTTACACATAATTGTTTACCACCGGCGGATTTTCCGGACCGATACGACTTAGGGACCTTCAAGAAAAGAGCTTACACCTTTCTAAACGGCCGGCAACGCATCTGCAATTCCCCTGGTGTTGCGGTTGTTCATGGGCGGCGGTAGTCACTTACCATCAGGTGAGCCGCATGCTCGTTTGCCCCCTCTTCTATAAAAAAAAAAACACAAAAATATTTTTTTAAATAATAAAATTAATCCCTCCCTCTCCTTACAGTTTCATTCCACTGCTGGTGATGGACCGTTACATCCTATAAAAACCCCCAATGAACATAGGCCTCCACTATATTCCTCATAGAGGGTATACTTGTCATAGTTGCCACGTTCTGTTCCACGGTACACGTACCTTGTTGTATTGAACAGTGGATCAGTCGCCTCTTACGAAACCCACGGAATAGTATGAATATTCATACACCGCCACTACACAGTAATTGATAATTTCTCGAAACATTTCATTTATCGACAAATC